GTTGGATGTGTTTCCTTGGAGGATGGGTGAAGCACTTGGCTCCTGTTTTGCAGAGAAGGCATATAAAGTTCCTGTGTTTGATGCTCACGGTGTATGAAACCCCCAACGCAGGGCCTTGCACTGACCAGATCTGTGTGCTGCACCCAGAGCCATGGATCACAGCCCTGCAGAGCGTGGGTAAGGCTGGGTGCCTGCTCCCTGCTCACACCAGCTTCTGGTGAAGGGCCCAGTCCCCCACACACTCACACAGGAACAGGAGGTGGCAGATTATCCACATTAGGCTGACTTTAATGGCCCAGAGCATTTGCACCAGCTTATTCTGCAGCACTGAAACAACCATTTTCATTCACGGATGAGACCTGAATGTACCAGCTGCATCCACTGAGGTGATCTTTTCAGTTCCCTTCCAGCTGTTCTCTGCAATGCTGTGATAAAACACCTCTAATAGGGCTCTGCTCCACATTCCCTACTCCTGAGCTTATTTAAACTCTGCTTCATGAGGACATTTGCTATTCACCCTTACAGGGGCTGCAACGGGACAACCCAGCATGTAAGAGCCAGGCTTTACCATGTGCTCACTCAATCATACAGAGGTTTCCTACTCAAAAGCATCAACTGCCTCCCCCAAGCCCCCTCTCCCCTTTCCAATTTGCAACCACAGCACAACCATCCCTGCAGCTGGGACAGCAACGGCGCACTTGGACAAATTCCCCTTTGGAATGTACTGAATGGAGCAGGAGCTCGTTTGATTCCTGTTGCTGCTTCAGCACAGTTTAGCAGCTGGAAAGGAGGAACAGAATCCAGTGCCATGTGACCAAAGCTTTCCATGGATCACAGTCGGGCATCCCTACAGCAGCATTTAAATAAGCAGGAGTTATTTCAGCAAGCCACACTTCCATGGTGGTTACCAAAGGTGGGAAGTGGAGCCACTTGGAAAACACAAGGGAAGGCTAAGTTTCCTTGGATATTGGCAGGGATTTAGTCACGCTGCTGGAAGCTGAGTGGGTTAATCAATCCCTTGCTGTGGCTGCTTGCCCATCACTGTGGTTTTCCTGCAATGGCTCCATGTGGGATATCTGTCTGCAGGGATGGGCTGGGAGCTGGACAGCCAAGTAGGATGCTCTTGGCTGAAGCCTCCCTGTCCCCAGGTGCTATCAGATGGTTGCTGCAGCTTGCACATGGCCCCCAGGCTGCACCAAACTTGCTTGGAGTTTCTATCAGCGTGTGTTGTCTCGTGCAAGGCCTCTGCATTGGCACCTTATTAAAAGAAAGCAGCGTGCAAATAGCTCCTGCTCCTGCTGATGCTGCTTGGTTGGAGGTGCTGCTTGGCTGGCCTTGTACTGGGCAGCAGCAGAGGGCCAGCATCTCCCAAAGAGCAGAAAAGCCGAGCTCTCCCTGCTAGAGGAACTGTGTGAAGCAGGAGCTTGGTGCACTTGCCAGCCTGGACATCTGATGGTTTCATCCTGACCCAACCTCTACCGCCATCACTCACCACCCTGCACTCAACTCATCTAAAGGCAGTTCAATGCCTCAGGGCCAGAGGTGTGGGATCTAAAGGTGGGTCTGATTTTGAGCTTACTGTCCCCAGAGCTAAACTCTCTCACATCTGCAAAACAAACAATGTGAGGCGCACCAGGGGCACAGTGTAACAGCTCCTCTGCACCAATGCTTCTGACAAGGCAACCAGCTGCAGGTCCCTGTGTTTGTACAAATGACTCGTGCTGGAACAAAATGCAGCAGGAACAGTCTCAGCCACCCTCTTGGCAGCGAGATTCTGACATCTGCAATTGGTTTTAAGCATTTTCAGGAGTTAACAAGACTGTTTAGAGGCTCTGTTTTTCCTTTATCATAAAAAGCAGTCTATAGGGTTGGTACAAAAAGCTCTGTGAGATGTAGGAATGCAGCAATGATGAGTGTAAGTTCCTACTGGCTTGTGCACACTGAAACCTCCTCTGCAGAAGAATCCCTTTGTCCTGGACCAGGAAGGGCAAACAGATTTTTCCATGCACCAAGGTCTGCTCCTGCACCTGAGGCTTCCTGAGAAAATGAGGTTAAAATCCAAGCACGTCAACACAAGCAGGTGGAGTGCAATGTCCGGTATTGGGGTACAGCCTGACCTTGTTCACAGAAATGGCTCATCTGTTTCTGAAAACACCTTCCTAGAAAGAAACCAGCCTTGGGAGTGGAGATTGGCTGTCTGACTGCATCAGGTTTTGGGGGTATTTGCAGCAGTAACCAGGGATGTAAGTGGTGCATCTGCTCCTTCTTGCTAGTGCACACAGCCTCGCGCAAGAAAGGCTCCCAGGAGCAGAAACGGCTTCTACTGCAGGTGTTTCCTGCATTAACTCCCTGCCATGTTCATGAGCCTGCCCAGATGTTGCTAAATGCCTTAAAGGACCAAGACTGGGAGGAAAAAACCCCAACACACTAAAAATCCTGTAGTATTCTTAGTGGAAATTTGCTGTTCTCATGCTCAGGTGTAGCATTCATGGTAACCACAGCTCACCTCACTTAACCTAAAGTGAGGCTCTCACAAACCACATTCTCACAGGAACCTAATTAATGATCCCCTTTTCTGTTGGACGTATCTTAACAGATCCTCCAGGACCATAGGCCATGTCCTTAGGAGCAACAACAGCCTGTGAACCTGTGCTGATCTGGAAGGCAGCTGAAAAGCAACCACATCTCCACATGGGTGCAGGTAAGCACGTGGCAGCACAAGGGGGGTAGAGAAAGCAGTTTCAGTCCAAGACTGGTGTAAGACATGCTCCTTGGGATGACATCTGTGGGAAGCTGAGCCTCAAGGTAACAAACCCACAGCTGGAGCGCTCAAGGTCTCTCCTGCATGAACTGCTCACAGTGCTCCACATGCACCAAAACTGACAATCAATCCTTCAGAAAACACAAAGCTCACCATGATGCAAACCCACCAAAGAGCCTTTGAGCAATGCTAAAAACACCTCTTAAAACCTCTGAAAAGTCTCTTCCTCGTGTTTGCAGGATGCTAAAAGGGCAAGTTCTCACCTTCCTGGAACGTTTAACATTAAAAACAAGGAGAGGAGACTTTCTAATGTCTCCCATCCCCACAGGCTCCCTGTTCCCACTCCCTCCAGCCAGTGGTTTTCCAACTCTTCCAGGCAAAAGGTTCAAGCTCCCCCAACAAACTTCCTTGCCCTGACACACCTCAATGCATGTGGCTGTTCGAAGGCTCTGCAGCCATTTCTTCCTTTTTGATTCAAGGTGACAGATGAATAAATTGCAGCCCGTGCACAGCACGGCTCCGGTGTCACACACGCACGTGCCCAGTGAGGTCTGACACTGCCCATAGAACCACACATTGGTTTAGGTTGGAAAGGAGCTTACCATCATTCAGTTCCAACTCCCTGCCACAGGCAGGGACACTTTCCACTAGACCAGGTTGCTCAAGGCCCTAATGAGAAACCAGAGAGGAAATTCACCAGGAGCAAATAACTGGCCTCATTTACATACCCACATCCATTTAACTCACTATTTAACTGCAACAAGCCATCACATACCCGCTCCTGTTGTGGCTCAAACCTGACAGGTGCCTGAGCAGCATCACACGACCTTCTCCAGAGGTTTAACACACACACCTTTAGACCTGCTGGGCGAGGGGGTTCCACGTGGACCAGCCTTTTGGAGACACTGAGAATGCTGTCACCAACCCACTGCACCCAACTGCTAGGCAGGAGGGGACATGGCTCTGGATGAGGGGTCGCTGGATGTCACACGAGCAGATACAAACATATGTGGATATTAAGGGTGATTCTTTTCTTTTTCTTAACAAAACATCAAAGTGTTTTATTGTTACTAAAAAACCCCCAAACAATGCTCTAGTGTTCCAGGCCATGGATTTTCTAGCTTGGTTCATGGTGTGGAGTGCAGGTTAACAGGGGAAGCGTCTCGGGGACATCTCCCCTCTAGCCACAACCAGGCCCCCTCCTCCCTTTCCCTTGGTGACCAAATAACAGCCTTCTGCAAGTACAGCAATTGTTTACATGTAAAAGTAAGATTAGGAAAGCATTTAATGTATCTCAAGCCTTTTTTTTTTCTTTTTTTTCCCTGTTTTTTTTACCTTTTTTTTTAACCTTTTTTCACCTTTTTTTTTGTAAAAAAAGAAGTGATTTAGCAGCTAGAAGAACAGCATCATGTGGGCACCTAGTGCTGCACAGCCCACCAGCAAGTGCTCCACGGCTTACTCGTGCTCCATAGACCACAGTTCACAAATGTTTCGGGGCTTCACAACCTTTGTGTTGTGGCAGATGCTTCTTCACAGTGAGAGCCAGCAGGTCATTTTTGGTTGGAGAGACACACAGGAGACATCATCCACTCAGCAGCAGCTCAGTTTGGAGCTCTGACTGCACTGCTGCTCAGCTGTACCTGGGCAGCACTCAGCCTCCAGTGGGGTGGGCAGAGCTGGGGGAGCACCACATCGCTGGTTCCTCCTCTTGACTCGTGTAGGGTGTCTCTGTGTTCATCCTTACGGGTGTCTGGCTTCCTCAGGCACAGCAAGGCAACCAGGAGATGCAAAGGGCAGCAGCAAGCCATGGTGCAGGGCTGTCAGTTCTCTGCTCGAGCGGCTGTGACCTCCGGAGCTACCAGGATCCCAGGTCCCCAGGATGATGCCACAGATCCAAGTCACATAAGAGACACCACAGGAACATGGCTGGGAAAGCCGCTCTGGGACCAGCACCGACCACCCCTGAGGCTGTCTCCCAACAACATGCTGGGAACCAAACACACCCACAGCAGCCCTGCCAGCAAGTTCTCTGCAGGAAAGGTCTCCCAGGCAGCAACACCCCCCCCCCCCTTATTTTTTCCTTATTTTCTGAAACAACAATTGCTCTCACCCCTCTTTTTGGTGGACACACAGACATACACACACTATATGTACACAATTTGGAACCGAGGAGCTACACCGCGGCAGGGGAGCGATGGTGCCACACATTCAGCAGCTGCCAAAGGAGAAGTCGTTTGACTTTCTGTTAAACTTGCAACGTTTGTCTTTATTTTGTTCTTTATATTTTCAAAGTGAAAAGAAATAGTATCGAGTCAATTTCTTTTTTTCTCTTTTTTTTTTTTTCCTTTTTTTTTAAATATTTGTTCTATGTATTTACAAGCCTTAAAGTTGCTCTAAAGGTTCTCAAAGTAGCACTAAGGACTCTTTTTTTTTTCCCCCTGGGGAGCACTGGTTTGAATGAGTTACTTTTGTTTTCGGAGCGCTCTGGTCCGCAGTGTGTTTCTCAAATGCGTTTCCTTCCATTCCAAGGTTAGGTAGGGTTTTGGATTACTAGGTTCTTTTTTTTGTGTGTTTAAGTTTCTGAAGCAAGCTGAGAGGCAGGCAGAAAAATCTGATGGCAATTTAAGAAAGAAAAGAACATAAAAGCGGGTCTCTTCCTCATCTAGCTCACCCCAACCCCCTGGAAAGTTTTGTCTATTGTATCATGCTTGGAAACAAAACTGAGGTGCGGATGAAGGGGAGGGAAATTTATTTCTTGGCTTTTGTTCTATTATACAATTTGTATACAGAAACTGCAAATTTAAAAATTACACTGGCATTTGCAGTCCTTAAAATAATAAATTAAAAGTTTTTATTTATTTTATTTCTTTTTTTTTTTTGTTCTTTTGTTGGTTTTTTTTTGCTCAACAGATTTGTTTCGCTTTGTGGTAGTTTTTTTTTTTTTTTGCCTTTTTTTTTTTTCTCTAAGTCCTTGTTTAAAAAGAAAAGAAGAAGAAGAAAAAAAAAAAAACCCGAAAGATTAAAACAGAAAATATTTTCTATAAATAATACATGTGTTTTGGTTTAGTGCTCCCGCCCTCAGGTTTGAAGTTTGCTCTTGTGTTTTGCTGTATGCGTTTGTTTTTCAAGTACCTTTTTTTCCTCCACGGTCACCTTGATGTTTATGTATTTTACCTCTCCCACTCGTGCGTGTGTGGGGAAGGGGGTCTGTGTGAGCATTGGCTTTGCTGCACTCTGATTGGCGAAGACGTGAAACTTGTTAAAAAAATACTTAAATCCTTTCTTTTTTTCTTTTTTTTTGTTTTTTTTTCCTCTTTTTTCTCTCAGTATTTTAAATTTTAATTATCCTCCGACTCCTCTTCGGCCTCCCGTAGCCACGTGAAGAATGCTGTGACTGATTTTAGCGCTACTCCTTTCCCGTTCTGCTCTGCTGGGTCCTTGCTGCTCTCCCACTTGTAGAAGGCGTCCTCTGATATTACCTCCTCGTCGTACAGGCAGTCGAAAAACATCCGCAACAGATCTGCAGAGATGGAATAACGGGAGAGAAAGTGCATCAGTGGACCAAGCACGGTTATGGATAAGGGGATTAAGAGGACCTTTAATGTGAGTGATGCAGATACAAGTAAGGGGAAGGTCTGTAACCGAGTTACTGCTTACACAGAGATGAGAAGGAGCATGGGTCCCTCTGATGCAGTGAATAAGTCCTGCTCTGCAGGAAACGGCCTGGAGCACAGGTGTGATGTGGAAGGGCTGAGGGAGCTGGCGGCTTCAGTCTGGAGAAGAGGAGGCTCAGGGGGGACCTGATGGCTGCCTCCAGCTGCCTGACAGGAGGATGGAGCCAGGAGGGGCTGGGCTCTGCTCCCAAGGAACAAGGGATGGGACAAGAGGAAACAGCCTCAAGCTGCACCAGGGCAGGGTTAGATGGAGCTGAGGAACAATTCCTGCCCCAGAGGGTGCTCAGGCATTGGAACGGGCTGCTGTCACTGTCCCTGCAAGGCTTCACACACCCTCAGTGCCATGGGGCAGTGGTGGCCTCGGCAGTGCTGGGGAACGGTTGGACTGGATGAACTTAAAGGGCTTTTCCAACCTTGCTGATTCTATGAAAGGGAAAGCTTGAACAACAGCTGTGGCTGGGCAGCGGAGTCCCCAGCAGCCTGTCCTCCTCCTGCTGGACCTTGCAGCCAGCTCCTCTCCAGGGTAACGAACAACCAGAGCCTTAAAGCTAAGGACGATCAACTTGGGTGGTTCTGGGCACTCTGATTTTGTGCTGCAGATTCCCCAGGAATCCCTGTTTCTTTGACAACTCCCCGTCCTCTTTTCCAACAGAGGTTTCTGCAGTGTCTCTGGGACAAGACCCATCAGCTGCAATCAGTTCATTCCCTCCACAAACTTACAGAGCACAAGTGCAATCACAGCACCCAGTGCTCCCACGTGTCCAGGTACTGTAAACTCTATAGATGATTTCTTACTGCTCTTTGGTTTTTCCTCTGTTTTTATCAACAGGGTTTGTCCTTCCTTCTGCACGGCTGCTGACATGAGCAACCTGTAAGAGTCGGCCTCTGGCTAAACATGTGGGGACAAGCAGAAACCTCTGTACGGTGTTTTCCCTCATCTGTTGTGTACAAAAAGGTAAGGAAAAGCACATCCTCGACTCCATCTTCACAGAAACAACTTTCCCTCACACTGTCAGCATTCAAATCCCCAGCACAGAGGCAACACTTACTAGGAGGTTGATCAAGTTTTACTATTGATGCTTGTAGTGCATAAAGTGCTTGTAGTTCCTTCTCTGTGTCTGAGTCTAGGTACTTGATTAAGATCGGCACTCTCTGTTTGATAACAGCAGTGTCCACACGGAAGCTAGAAGATTCCGCTGAGGGGAAGAGAGGAAAACAGGGTCAGCTCTGGCAGATGGTACCAGGGGCACATCTTTTACTGATTCAAACAGAAATCACAGATACAGGTTAATGTGGAGAGAAAAAAGAAGATGAGGAACATCAGAAGTATTTCTTTGGCTCTTCCTGGAAGTCTTGGTACTTCCAGTTCCCCAAATTCAACCAGTATCTGCAGTGACCTGGCCTACCCAGTCTGCTGCCACACAGAGAGGGATTCCAGCCTTACTTTGCAGCACAGTTGTTGTGTTTCCTCAGGCAACTGGGTGTCCAAAGTGTGTACAAAGGGTAGGGCTAAAATTTTAGGTATGCAGAAGGTTTGAGAAGATTATATATTAAAATACCAAGGCAGAAACAGAACCACAGGCTGCATATGACATAAGAAATCAGGAATACATAAAAAATAGGCATTAGAAGCCCATCTGGAACATGGATAAATGATTCAGCAGCTTCTAAGTCGATCCTGCAACACAATTCTTAAGTGATATTTTGAAAACAAACCTGCTCAATTAGAGGCAAGGTCACAACATAAACCAGATGTTCCTGATACACATCAGGGAACCCTTGAACATCTGTAATCAAATCCCGAGTCATCTCCCCGTTAACACTAGGTGGCACCAGAAAGGTTCTGTTCTGGAGAGAAGAAAGAAGCTGGGCTCCTTCCCCTCTCAACCAGATGAAGTTGAGGCCATTCCCTCCACCAGGACGTGTGACTCTTGGAGCTCACAGCAGAAACGGCTGCTTTACAAGCACAGTTTCTTGCCTTGCCAGATGCCAACGGTAAAGCTAAAGAAAACATAGTGCTCTGACCAGATGTTTCTGGCTGCAAGCTTATTCAAGCCCCGAAGGGGCTGAGGCTCAGTCTGAGTCGGGATCCCTTCCTTCCCTCCATTTCCAGCCAACTGCTGACACATAAACTGTACATTACTTGAATTTATGTCCAAAATTGCTACTTTGGACATAAACCTATTACCAAGATGAGATGCAGGCTGGCTTCTCTTCTGCAATCCATGCTGCCACCTCGCACGTGGTGATCTGCGATGGCAGCGCACCCATGTGTACTTGCTGACACAGGAGGGGAAATGCTGATTACCTTAATAATGTCTAGCAGCCTATTTCCATCTTCACTAGGAAAAACCCATGAGCAACCTGGCATTACGCAGGGTCGACTGAAACATCTGCTCATGAGAGGTCACTGGGCTATGCCAGCACCTCAGGAACACCATAACGGGGAAGGGACAACCCACTCGTGAGCACTACAACTCAATATGGTGCTATAGTGTGTGACAAAAAGCAGCCTCAGGGGAGAGAAAAGTGATAGAAACCTGAAAGATAGATAGAAAATAACTTGCACATTTGGTTTGTACAGTGTTTCCATTGTGAGTTACTCACCTACAATAGCTGCTTTACAAACTGCTGTCATTAAAGCTCTAAGGAATGTAGGTGAACTCATCTGGCTTTCATCTAGATTAGCCTGAAATCAAGCGCAAATGGACTGGTTAAAAACATGCCACTGGGTGAGAGCAACCCTTTCAAACTCCACTGCTGCCTGTGGTACAGGTACAAGCTCAGCAAAAGCTACTGCAGCAGAAGTCAAGTTTACTCCTCTGTGAGACCTCAGCTTTCCCATTCCCTTCTTGAAACCAGCTCAGGTACATCCATACACTGCAGGAGTGGTCAGCACACCCTCTAACTGTCCCCACAGCCACAGAAACAAACCCAACCTATCAAGTATGGCTCTCACAATGCCCTTTACATGTTCAGGACGTTTTTTAGGCTTTTCCAACCCATTTTACAGCATGCTTTTGGGTGGAGCTTTGTTTGCATTGTAGAAGTTCAGAGAATGGCAATGTAACTTGTCCAAGACTACAAAGAGCCCAGGGGGGGGTCCCCAGATTTTCAGTTCTGCTCTTTCATGTAGCTCTCAGCAGGAGAGAGCTGACATTTCTAACACAGCGCTGCAGCAACAGGAGTAACTGAAACAAAGCTGGCCAGGATTTAGCTGTAAGCACATGTCTAAATGGATCAGGTTGGGTATAACCTCAGACACTAGATTGAATACCTGGCTTAAGGGATGCAGCCAGAGAGAGGGCAAAAGATCAGTGGTTGGCTGGGCTTTCCCCCCCTTTCCATTATTATCTCTTACAGAGCCCAGTCCAGTGCACTGGGAAAGGTCCATGTGCTCTCAGTGAGAGCTCAGGATGTTTCTGCAGCATGGCAGGGGGGGAATTTGCAGAGGTCATGTTGCAAACAGCAGTGAGAAGCTTTCACCGCTTATGGTGGGAAGAAAGAACACAGCAGCGAACTCAGCTGAGAATGCAGTAAGTAGCCAGAAACAGTGTATTGGGCATCAAAGTATTTAAAAGGCAGTTCCACAGTTAATGTGTAACACAGTTACACAGTGTTATGTGGCTAAAATCCTTTCTTCCTAAATCTTACTGTCAGAGAACTGATTTATCTTTTAGACTTTAATCCTTGTCAGTGCCAATTGCACTGACCTGCTCATTTTAGTGTCCTGTGCCTAGGGAGGAGCCTGCGGAGATGCTCCTTTAGATGAGACAGTATTTACAGAAGCAGCTAATAAACTGTGTGCAGGGAGGGAAAAAATAGTCTTTGTACCTCTACCCAGTCAAAGATTTGTTCATCATTTGCCTTGTCCTCAACAATGAGTTTTTCAAGCTGCTTGTTCAGCTCTTCTGCAGAGAGTTCTTTCTCTGAAAGTGCTTCTGAGGAACTGGAACAGTCGGACTCTGTGAAGTCCAACTTCTGCAACATCAGAAATGAGGACAAGAATTAGTTAAATACACTTTTCTATGCCAAATGACACCACATTGAGGCAGCAAGCCACTCTTCCTTCTGCTTTCTGGCATTTTTCAACTGCTAAGTTATCATTACAATGATTTATGTACTTGCTTTCTAACCTTTGGAACAGAGAATTTACAAACACGTGGGATCTACATGTTTGTATCCAGGAAGACAACGGGCACCTCGGAGCAGCTGCAGCCCCACACACTATGAGTGTGCACGAAATAAAGAGCATGTTACTCAACTAAAACGATGGGGAGCTGGAATGCAATGACCAGAGCTGGCATTGCTCAAAGAAACTGCAGTTAACAGCCCAATTAATGGGACAGAGGAGCTACAGTGCCCCCAGCAAGCCCCATGCCTTAATAATCCATTTCATTTCCCGCAGTACAGCACTTCCTAAGTGCTAAAATGTGGTGGATCACTCAGAGCAACAAAGGGAGACTTCCAGCAAGGTGCCCTCCATCAGTCCCGGCTCCTGCAGGTTGTGAAACCCTCTGGGATTGTAACACAAGGTGGGATAAGTGAATAATCACTACCATTCAGTCTGGCCCTTCTGCACAACATCTGTCCTCGCTGCAAACCTGGGCTCATTTCCCCAGCTGGAGAAGCAGATCTGCTGGAGGAAGCCAGCTGATGGGAGATGTGTGCCTGGAGGCAGAGGGGACAAGCCCATCCTCCTGGTGTTTCAGAAAACAATCTAACCCCAACTCAGTGCAGGAGACACTTCACCCCACATCCCAACCAACCACACATAAGAATGGGATGGAAGAGCATGAACAAATGGGATGTGGAGCCAAAAATCAGTGTGCCAACGTCACGAAGCAAGCACTTGCTCTGAACTCACTTGTTCCATGAGAAAGGTATGTACATCCTCCCCTTCGGGTAAGTAGTCCTTCCAACTGAGGCCAGTCTCCCTCCATAAGGCTCCCACTTTCTTATGGCTCTGCAACACAAAGTTTGTTCATTTTAAAGCCTGCAGAGACAACCAGGAGAGTTTACATGAGCTGGAGTGGTGCAGCTGTGTGAGGAGAAATGAAGAACCATTCAGCCACCAAACAAGATGCCTGACAACAAAGTGAAAACCTCTGGAAATCCCATGCAAGAGGCACCATACACACAATCCTGCCACAGGGAACCACATCGTGTCCAGTGTCAAACATGACTTTATGTTTTTAAGTTAACAAAGCAGACTGTTTAGAGCTAATTGTACATAGTCCCTGCTATAACCATCAGGATCAGAATGAAATGACTGATACTACATTGAAATACCCAAATCCAAGTATTGGCCTGGAGGAGACGGGATTAGAAAGCTTCAACACCCAGAGCACAGCAGCTTTGCTTTCACAGAACAGAGGAAATAAATAAATGGAAGTCGACTGCCCAAACAAGCAGAAGACTCAAATAAGTCAATAAGAAGTCACTATTTGCACTGCTAGACTGAAATGCTCCTGGAACGTTCAGTCCTATCTGAGTGCAGGCTTTAAAACAAAGAAAAAGGAGTGAGGGATGTTACAGGTTGAAACTATCCCAAGTGCAGTATCCAGCTGGATTAAAAAATACAAGAAAGACAAAATATGGAAGGAAAATTACAGGGAAACCACCAAAGTGTGGATACTGCAGCACTCTGGCCTCTGCAAGAAGCCAGGTACAAAGGGAAAAGTGATGAGCAAACAAGGAGTTAGCAGTTTGGAACCTTGTCAGGCTCGGCTGGAAACTGGGGAAGGAGCAGCAGGTTTCCTAGGTTATCTGGGCTGGCTCATCCTTCAGGATCTTCATGTGGGAAACATGTTGGCTTCATGCATAAACATGTACTCACTGCACCCAGCCCACGAACAGCACACCAGCCACTTACCATTTGTTTGCATAGAAGGTGCAAGATTTCAGCAAGCAAGACGCCGGCTCTTCCCACAGGAAGCAAAGGTTTGCTAAATTCTCTAGAATGAAAAAGGAGAGATTTTCCCTTAGAACATGAATTTGGAATGCAAGCCTGGGGGTAGTGATCAAACTGAGGCAGGAAAGCACTTGTGACTTATACCAGGGATAAAGGGTTTGATGTGGCACCACTGATAGAAGAGACTTCAGCAATGCAGTGCACTTGCCACAGCAGGGCTGACTGCAAAGGCTTTATGTACCATCAAATGCTCTCATTTCTGTGGGATGCTGCATTCAGGTAGCAGGACCCTTTTAGGGGAAAAGCTGTTATTTTTGTAACACAGGGTTGGCTTCTAGTTAATCCCCAAAATACAGGTACAAAATAGAGAAACTCTGGTCCTGGAAACTATTCCCAGTCATGCAGGTAAGCTTTTGTGCCTGCTCAAGGCAATGCGCAGGTGGTGTTTATCACACCCCAAGATACAAAGACCCCTGCAGAATGCCTCAATCTCTGCAAATCTAATTCTAGAGGCTTGGTGAGCTCTCAAATGCCTCCCATTGTCCACCACAGGGTATTAGCTCAGCTGAAACAAACAGGATTGAAGTGGACTTATGGATAAAACTTTCACCCCTGAACAGTGATGACAGAGCAGCGAGTTCCCTTCCCACCACAGCCTGGTGCAAGCCTTCTATCAATTGATATGAGAAACTGAGCCTCCAACACCACTCATCTTTTATCTACTGATGGGAACCACATGGTGGAACTACTCCAGCAGACCCAGACAGGCTCTGCTTGGCTAGGAATGGAAAAGAGCAGTGTTGCTTACTGTATAAGTTCTCTCATAGAGATTCCTCCTTCTTTTAACATGGGGGTCACCAACTCAGCTAGGTACAACCAAATATGGGGTATATCTATGGCCATATCATCCGCCATCTCCAAGGTGTCTGAAAAGCTTTAAAAGAAAAGGAAAACATCAAGTGTTAAATGCCATTTAGAGAATTGCAAAGCAAATCTTGTCTTTCAAACCCCTTTGTTACAGAAGAGAGGAGGTAACACAACAACTGGTGCCACCTCCTGCTTCCAGTGCTTCCAACTGCCAGCAGAGAATTTCTCTATGCAGTAACAAGGGGAGTATGTGGAAACCAGCAGATAACCCAGGAAAGCTCCATTTACAGTTAATTCTTGTACCACCGTAACAAATCATTTGCCAAATCATCAGACCTGTAAAACTAAGCAGCATTTTTGTCTATAAACACCAACCATTTAATAAATGATACATGGAGCTTTCTTAAAAATATCTAAACATTTCCAGAAGGGGATTGATAACAGTGGAACTCCAATGGTAATGAGCAAATGTCTGTAAGGGTGGAAACCACGATTGGAAGGGAGCTCCGTGCACCAGAGGGAGGTTTCCATCTGGAACAGAAAATGCAGCAGGATGGATTGCAGAATTGCTCCCCAACACTGGATCCACTTTCCAGAATGGCTCAGAACTCTTCTTCCTGATACAAGCCTTGCAAGTGCTTCACCCCTGTGCCTGTACAAGGTGATCGCTGTTCTGGCTCTTTTGCCAGCCCTCACCATGATTCCTTTCTCCCGAAAACCCTGAAGCTTCTGGTGTCTGGTTTAGTGCCTATAAATGCACATTTTCTCTGTGCTTCAAACCCAGAAACCATCTCCTTCGCTTTGCTCTTTACATCCTCTGCTACCAGCTCAGCCTGCCTTTGTCCAAGTGCTTCTGCCAGCAGTTGGTTTCCTGCTGTGTATCCCTCCACAGACTTGTGCTGTGACCATACTCATCCCATACCCTCTAATTACACTGTAATGGGTCTTGTTGAGTGTCGTGGCTTTCAGTGTTCTTCTTATGTGCCCGTTCAACACCACTTGCCCTTTCATCATCTCTGGGAGCCATTTCCCTGTTTATGCCACATTCAGACCACACATCCCACTGTTTCATCAAGGTCCTACTTGTTTGGCATCACAACCGCTTACCCACACTGCAGGAAACACAGGGAGGGCTTTAATCACAATCCATTACGGAAACCTATCACTGCAAATGAGCTGTTGTGACCATTGGTGGCTGCATGGACACAGACAAGCAGCTCCATGGGGATATATGTTTTTTTTTACTGCTGTTCCAGCTGAACTCAGGCTGCCTGAACCTTTCCTGTGAGCCACTGGGCTGCATCATGACAAAATTCACTGCCAGACACAGACACAGGGAGATCACAATGGGAGCAGTCCCACAACAGGATTCACATCAAAGCAGCAGGACAGGGCTGACTGCTAAGAAACCTGGTATCTGGAAGGGTTATTTCACCTGCTCTTCACTGGCTGCTTCTCATGGTTACCCTTGGTTTAATCACCCTGCTCTAAGCCCCAGTGAGGACTGAGCGGTGCCGGGGACCTCCTGGAGGACATGGATTGATTTACAACTGGGCACCAGTTCAAATCCAGGCTGGGAATGCAAAAGCAGCAGAGCAGAGATGAACCAGCAGCTGAAACATCTCTGGAGGAAGGTCTCCTCTGTCTGGTACTACACTGGTGTGTATTCCCCTCCTCAGCCCCTTGAGGACACATCTGCTCCTTAAAGCTGAGCTGTCCTAAGAAGTGGCAGCATGAGTGTGAAGCCAGTTTTACCACTGGGAGGGCAGCTGTGGCTCTGTGGATGCTCAGGGTTTCAGGCATTAATGTCACGTCAAGATGTTTGACTTCTTCCTCTTCTTTTAATCATAGTCAGTGATTTGCCAGAAGGCAAACATTGACAAATGCACCACGAAACAGAAATCTAACCACACACGTTCAAACAGACACCCACTTAGAAAGAAATGCTTACATAAATAGGGAAATATTTACATCCACTACAGCATTTGCAGGACTTGAAACTAAATCACAAGAATCCTATTACTTATAAATACACCCAGGTGAAAATGCTCCTCCGGAATGGAGGCAGGACACCAAAGCAAGGTGGGAATTCATTCCTCTCTAAGGAAAGCACCAAGTTTCCACATGCAGAATACAAACCCCTTGAAGAAATCCTGCTTGCTCAGCTTTCCCGACTGCACCAACTGGTGTAATAACTGGCCCATGTGATCCCTGGTGATCTGACTCCTCTCGAGCGTCGACTCCACTCCCACTCGCACGAACACCGGCAGCAGGTTGTGGGTGCTCAGCTCCTCCACGCACTGCATCGCCTCCTGTGCCAACGACACGCGGGGTCATTTCTGAACTGAAAGCATCCAAACCTGGAGTATTTTCTACTATAACATTGGGGGGTTCCTTCTGGGAAATGAGTATTTAGTGGAGTTGCCAGGCAGAAGTGCTGAACTAGGCTGTGGAACCTCATCACAAACCACCACTGAGATGGCAACTGAATACTAATGACACTGCTAATGGTGCTAACAATGATGTGATAATGGTGCTAACAATGATGGTGATAATAATACTGACATTTATACCACACAGGCAACAAGTTTTACAATACACAGTTATGCTCCAGGGTACAGTTTGGCTGCTCAGTGCAAGGACAGGAATTGTCTTCAGGTTGCCATCAAAACACCTGCTATTTCACCAACTATCATGCCGAGGCAAAACGAGGACATCAGGTGAGGTTCTGTACTGATCCGTTTGACACAGAAATGCCTGTGTACAAACCCACTTCGTGTAAAGAAGCAGACAATAGGTGCAGGGCACCTGGAGGAGAATTTACCCTGTCTAAAGCTTCTGCTTTCTGGCACGTACCTTTTGTAACCTAAGCAAATTGGACACTCCAACAGAGACTTTCAGAGGAGCATCAATGTCACACGGAGAAATCTCCACTGTCGTCAGTAAAGATTCTCCACTGACCTTCTAGGCTCTGCCCAATGGATGTCAATGCACCTCCCAAAGACATCTGCTCTCTGTCTTAGGTTATGCCTTTAGTTATCAAGACCTAGCAGCCCCAGGTACATTATTGCAGGCCCTAAGAGGCTTTTTCTGCATGTCACAAGCCGGGCGGTCCTGGACCACGTCTTCCTGTCAGAGCTCTTCCCTCAGATGTGCCTGGTGGATCCTGGTGTCTCCAGGACAGAGGTGAATGTGCTCCTGGGTGACCCTGCTGTCACCAGGCACTGGCACACAGCTCAGAGGGTTTACTTACAGACAGCTTAAACACAGAATGCTAAACTCCTGAGAAACAGCCATTGCTCTGTGATGTACAACACCAATACACCCATGTATGGCCTTATTAATGTGAGCTTAAGCTGAATCAGAATCATAGAATCACAGAATGGTTTGGGCTGGAAAGGACCTTAAGATCATCCAGTTCCAACCCCCTGCCATGGGCAGGGACACCTCACACTAAACCATCTCATCCAAGGCTCTGTCCAACCTGGCCTTGAGCACTGCCAGGGATGGGGCAGCCACAGCTTCTCTGGGCACCCTGTGCCAGCGCCTCAGCACCCTCACAGGGAAGAGCTTCTGCCTAAGAGCTCAGCTCAGTCTCCCCTCGGGCAGGTTCAAGCCATTCCCCTTGGCCTGTCCCTACAGGCCCTTGTCCCAAGCCCCTCTCCAGCTTTCCTGCAGCCCCTTTAGGCACTGGAGCTGCTCTAAGGTCTCCCCTTCAGGAGCCTTCTCTTCTCCAGGCTGCCCCAGCCCAGCTCTCTCAGCCTGGCTCCAGAGCAGAGCTGCTCCAGCCCTCGCAGCATCTCCATGGCCTCCTCTGGCCTCACTCCAGCAGCTCCAGGTCCCTCTTGTGCTGCTGCCCCAGAGCTGGATCAGGGCTGCAGGCTCCCCAGGGGAAAACATACCCTGGTCCCACAGACCTTTCCGTAAGTGAGGTTTTCATTTTGCTTACCTTGAAATCATTAATATGCAAGAACTCATCAATGATAGATTTGCATTTTCTCTCTATTTCCTCTTCTGATAGCGAAGGCTTTTCTTGTGCTGGAGCTGGGGGAGCTTCTGGCTTGGCTGGTAGAAATACAAGACAAAAAATGTAAGAAACCACATATAGAAAAGGAAAATCAGCATCATTTTGAGACAACATCCTGAAAAGTCACCAGAGCAAAGGGTGTTCCTGTCCCGTCATCAAGCACAGCTCACTTCTATCTTGGTTACACATGCCCCTGTATGAACTCTCAGTATTTCTGTAAATCAACCATCTCACAGAGATGAAGCAGCAGTGACACAGGTTGCAACACCCTCAATGCTGTGGCGCAGTGCTAGTTAGTACTGACAGCTGTGTGGCTCCAATGAATCCTAAGGACAAGTTGATAAGAGATGATGCCAAGGCCTGTGTGAATCAGTTGTGTTACAAACCTCTGGGAGGCAATCACAGCAGCCTGACCACATCTCGCTGTGGCCAAAACAACCGTGGAATCATGAGGTTGGAAAAGACCTTTAAGCTCACCCAGTCCAACCTTTACCCCAGCACTGCCAAGGCCACCACTGCCCCATGGCACTGAGGGCCTCATGTATGTGATGTGTGAACACTTGCAGAGACGGTGCCTGCAGCCCTGCCCTGGGCAGCCTGTTCCAATGCCTGAGCACTCTCTGGGGCAGGAGTTGTTCCTCAGCTCCATCTAAACCTGCCCTGGTGCAGCCACAGGATCCGAGGTGCAGCCTCACCAGTGCCCAGTGCAGGGGCACAATCCCTGCCTTAGCTCTGCTGCCGCACTGGTGCTGATCCAGGCCAGGATGCTGGGGGCTTCCTGGGCACAAGCTGGTCACTTTCAACCAGCACCTCCAGGTCCTTTCCCATGAGCAGTTTCCAGCTGCTCTTCCCCAAGCCTGGAGCGTTGCAGGGGGTTGTTGTGGCCCAAGTGCAGGACCCAGCACTTTCCCTTGTTGAACGCAATCCCATTGGCCCAGCCCATCAATAACATTCACATCGCAATCCAGAACTGTCACTTTGTCTTATAGCTTTTCCCTTAGGCCTTTCCACACAGCCAGCAAGATTCCCTGAGCCCAGAACAGCACTTACCAGATTCCTTGGCTTTGCTCCTCTCTGCCTCTGTGCTGTTTCTATCCATCTCCATGCCCCCTGTCAACTGCTTCACTGTCTCCAGCATCTCCCTCCGCTGCTCCTCCTGTGCCTGATTGTCGAGCAGCAGCTCTTTACTGCTGCTGCCCCGCAGGAAGGTGTTGGGACGGGAGAGGGAAGGCGGCAGAGGTTTGTCATTCTTCTCCCTGCCCGTGCTCCCGCGACTGCGGAACAAAAACCACATCTGCTTAAAGGTTGTGGTACGAGTAACCCCTGCTCACAGCGCTGGGATGTCGGACAACATACTGGAGAGCTTCACAGAACTGCACCTGAACCCAGCAGGATCCTTGTCTCAGTGTTTTACAGTTGTAGTTGCACAGAATAAAGCCAAAATAAACTCAGGTCTCAGACATGGACAAACACAAACACCCACAGAGAGGCCAGGCAGAGCCCAGAGAACACATGGAAAAGCAACAGCATCCTTACAGCACCCCTCTGATACATGGAGCTGGGGATTTTATAACACTGTTTTACTATCAAATGGTGTGAGTGGTGTGGGCTTCACCCATTCACTGAAAAATAGTGAAGGCTACCAGCAGCAGAACACAAGGATCTGTCCCATAAATCACTGTATTAATAAGTAAGATGGGCAAACCAATTCCAGAATGGAATAATTTCCAGCTGAGTTGGAGTTTTAGGTGGAATAGGAAGGAAAATGTCAGAGGCACCAACCCAAGAAAACAGCCCAGCAGCTTGTGTGCACTGGGAGGACAAACACATTGTAAATGACCTGTACATTTATAACCTGTGTCTAGAGCCAATCCATGATTGAGGGTTAATACATGCTTCATGCTCCAGGCTGGAGCAGCTGCAGCCCTGATGGGATTGGGTGTGAGAGCCCTGCGTGATGTGGGAGCATGGGCAGGTCTGGTCAAAGCAATTGGGAAAGGTCAGATGCAGACAGAGCATTTTAGGAGCCCTCCTTAATTTCTGTAAGGTTTTAGGCATTTTTTTCCTTCTAAATAAACCTCCTGAGCTGGCTGAGCTGATCTGACACCTCTTTACTACACCATGTTACCTGGAGGGCTTTTAACCTGTGATGAACTACCAGTGAATGAAGCCTTACATGAAGGGCGACCAAAAAGGGGAAACAAAAGCATTCACTGTAATGGCTTTAAAAACTAATGCTACCTGTCTCTCCTATAAGATGTTTTAAGATAACTCAAAGTACACAGTGGTAAGGGGAAAAGAAGCAGCTGCTCCTGGAAACTCAATGAAATTCTCTTCCTTCTGTGTGCTGGTAACTAGAGCAGCAAGAGAAAAGCAGCAGTGTGCAGACAGCACAAAGGGGTCATTGCTGGGCTGACACTCACCTAGTTAAGGCCCTGCGAGAATCTAGTTCTGCAGATGGAGATGAGGCAGATACAGATGACACTGGAGGCTGCAGTGCAGAAAACCTGTTCAAACTCGTGGCACTTGGTCGTAAGGAGTCTGGGAGGTTGCAAAGACAACACAAAGAGCAATGACAAGGTCAGCAGCCGTTCACACCTTGGCATCACAACATCACTTAAGCAATAGCTGGTTTTGGAGTGATGGGGAGAGAACTGAAAAGGCTGGTCCTGCCCTGCTTCCACCCCCTTGTCAGGCAGTCACACATAGGGATGAGCATTCCCACCCAAGTCCACCCCTGGCAGGGTGGCTGGTACCACCACACAGGGTGAGGGCCCATTGGACTCACCCATCTCGCTTGCCTTTGCTCCGCCACTGCTGCCCTTTCCCCAGCTGCCCAGCTGGGCTTTAGGCACAAGCTGAATCTTCTCATCTATTGTGGGCTGTAAAACACACCAAGGCACCATGTCACCAGGCTGATTGTACAACTTAACTACAAATGGGTAAGGTTTTGGCAACACTCTCTGTCTTCTGAATACCAAAATACTTTAACACAGGTTTGGAATCAGTCACAGAATCCCAGACTGGTTTGGGTTGGAAGGGACCTTAAAGCTCCTCCAGTTCCAACCCCTGCCACAGGCAGGGACACCTTCCACTAGAGCAGCTTGCTCCAAGCCCCTGTGTCCTACCTGGCAGTGAGCAGCACAGACCATGCTAAGTGATCACAAATATCCTTCCACTGAACACCTCCATTGGATTTCTCTCCCCCTTTGCAGTGCTGAGGAGCTTAAGGTTCTTTCCAACCCTGGCCATTCTATGGTTCTGTGATTTATCCCTTTCTGGTGTTCCATGAAAGGCAGCACATCCCATCAGTGTGTGGTAAAACATAACCAAAAAGGGTTCTTCAGATCTTCCATTGTAGACAAAGAAAGAGCAGAAGGAATGAAACTGAAAGGACTTAAATGAACAGGCCATGTGTCATACCCCAAGGGTTGTTGGCTCAGTGCTATGAGCATCTTCCAAGCAGATGAAAGGCCAAGCATTAAACCTGGCCTCCCACTCTGCCACCCTCAACCTGGGTATAAATTCTGTTACAGAGTTCCAGAGGGGGGAAATTTATTACCCAATTGTGAGTCATGTTGGGAGACCAAACCCTACCCAAAGACAGAGGACACAGACAACAAAGGGATCACAGCCTTTCCGAGTGTCACTGGAAGACATTCCCAGTGACCAGGAGCTTCTTTTTATTGGGAAGTCTGAAGTCCAGTAAGGAGGAAAAAGCAGAGGACATCAGTACTGGAAGATGTTCAGTTTGATGGTGACAAATTAAATGGTTCTGTCTGCTCCACCACCAGACACAGCTTTGGGGGGAATCTGCACAGTGACAAACAGAATTCAGAGTGATGAATGACAACAGGCTGCACAACCTGGAGGGAAAATAGTGTCCAACAGGAAGAGAACATTGATTTTACAATGCTCTGCAGGTGAATGTATTGACAAGGAGGTTGTGACCCCACAGATCCCTTTGTGTGAGCTTCCTTCTCTGACAACCCAACTGCTGTGGAGCTAGCTCTGCTTGTACTGAGCTGTACTAAAAGGAGCAGAAGGGCTTTGCCCAACGTGAGCTGTCAGCCCCGACAGAAGCAGCCTGAGTCACTCCTGCTAATTCAGTTTTGGAGCCTGTTTGATGACTCTCACAAGGAACAAAGTGAGTTTGAGCTGCAGGAGGGCTGCAGCCTGTCCCGGTTCTGCTTTACAGCTCTCCAAGCATCCAGGCACTGAGAGTAAAGCTCAGGGAGAGTGACATTCATTGGAAGAGGGAATGTCTGGGAATCACCCTGATCTGTGGGAAGGCCTGAGCTCTTGGCGAGAACAGCCAAAGCTGCTCTGATGCTCATCAAAAAGACATCTCCAAGCTTGCCTGACCTGCAGCCTGAAATAAAGCTTCCCAAAGTACCATTCTGATGGTAAAAACACTGGGAGATGCTCATCTGGAGGATGGGTGTGAAGGTTTATCACATACTGTGGGTTGCAACTGCACCACACACAAGTCCAGGAACACCATAAAAGCGGACACAGCTCTTGTACTGCTTGAACCTGTCAACCCTGGAGCGCTGCCACTGGTGACACGTCAGGAACATCGTGTTTTCAGGCTGAATATGGCACCCTCATTCTGCTGAGTAGCAGTGGCAGAACAGAGCCTTGAGAACTTGAGACAGCAAAGGGTTTCTGCCATGCAGGTGTTTGAGACCCCTCCTGCATCAGGCATGTGATGTGATGCATCATCACACGCAATACCCCAAACTCATGTTCTCTAGTCATTTAAAAGAACACAGATTTACCAATGAAGAGAACTTCTGGGTTACCAAAAGTATGCCAAGAACCTGAGAAAAAGTGTGTGTGTACTGCTCTCCCTCGCAGCAAACACTGAGAAGATAACACTCTTCCTCTGTGCTTTATTTAGGCACAGTATTAACTCCAGAGATACAAAACATCCTCAAACCCCAGTTCTGACCTGTGAACACCACGTCGGTCCTTTCTAGACACACAGAGTAAAGCAAGACCTCGGCACGTTTGTTGCTCTGAAGGAGTCTCGTGCTGGCACCTACCTTGGTGATTTTAAGGAACTTGGTGGGGTCCAGCACTCTGCTGTTCTTTGCCCCCTGCACAGTGTTCCAACCGCCTTCATCGACCCGCTGGACACCTGACAGATAACAAACACAACCACCCTGAGCTCATCCCCGTGGCTCCAGCAGTGCCCAGGAGGACAAGGGCCATCACCTCCACGTTCAGCAGGAGGAGGAGAAGGAGATGGCACGGTTCTGCTCAGCCCCAGCACGATTCCGTGCACAAACCATGTCTTTTGGGAGTGTTTCTTTAGAGTAAGATGATGTAGCCACATGGCCTGACTTTATGATTAGAAACCAGCTTTGACAGGAAAAACCTCACTGTTTTCAAGGGCTGGTTTTGCTTGTGATTCTTCCTGCTCAGGTTTCTCAGTGTCTGTTTCTGTGATCTGAATGTGGTTGCACGTGGTGCATCCACAAGCTCACAAGGAGCAGACCACAAGCCTTTGCTAACACAACCCCAACCCCACTTGTTGCACAGGTTTCTGGTGCAGTCTGCACTGGGCTGGTGCAGACAGAATCCCTGAGGCAGTCCCGAGTTCCTCCCCTCTCCTCATGTCAGCGGTAGGGTAATGAAAGCCTAATCCCCCCCATTGCCCTGCAGGCAGCGCCAGCCTCGAGGGCTGGCAGCAATTGAAGGTAATGCCACACCACTTTCTCCTGCTGAGTTAACAGCTAAAGACAACAGGGTTACTCTAGGAATTAGATGCCGTTCTCTTGAAACCAGATTCTGCTGTATGCCAGAATGGATGGCAAACCTGGCTCCTGCCTCCTAACTTGTAACAGATTCCTGGCAGCCTGACACCGCATCAAACATGGTCTGCACGAAGGAGAAACTTCAGCCTGTGATTGTCTGGTTTTTACCCAAGGGATTTGCCCCCTGGAAAGCGCACACAGCCAGCCCATGGCAAGTCTCTTCCTTCCCCAGCCTCAGCCATCATCAGGCCTCAAATCCCTTCACTTTACACGCTAAGGAAAAGAAACCAGATTTGTTTCTGTTACATGGGATTCCCTCTCTGGCCACTGGATGGGAAATGAGTGAAAGGAGCAGCCAGCTTGGCTTGTACTTACCCGGTCTCCTCTTCTCTTTGGTCATGAGTTGTTGGACCTTTCTCTGCTCCTCCTGCTCCTCAATCTTGGCTTCTTTATGAATCTGCTCGATGGTCTTGGGGCCCTGGTCTGCTCTCCGGGACACCCAATTGCACTGGGGAAGAAGCAAACACATGCTCAGAGACGCTTCCAGGGGAGCATCATGAACAGGGGGGTTTACACTGCCAACGAGGCATCACCCTCACACCCCTGCCACCTCCTGAAGGGGCAGCTCAGGAGGGACGGGGGTCACGTTGGGGATGTGGTTATCCCAGCACCACAGGTCAAAGCTATGTGCTCTGGTATGTGCGCTGTGGTATGTACACTCTGGTATGTACATTGCTGTATGTACACTGTGGTAGGTGCTTTGGTGGAGAGTGGAGGCTGCAGTGAAGACCTGACTCTGCAGAGCCATGAATGAGTTGAGGCTGTTTTAACCCCCAGCATCCTGCACATTCCCAGCCTTCCCATCTTTCTAGGATCAGAGGAAAGAGAAGGACCAGAGGGACGCTGCTGTCACTCTCTATTATTGACACTATTTGCTGAAGCCCTTCCTTCAAGCTCAAGATAAAAACATGAAGCCCTGAAAATAAAGCAGCAAGAAGTGACTGCATTTTATCTGGAGATGGTGCTCTGCCACTCCTGGATCGTGATGGCTGAGCCAGGAATCCTGCAGAGAGAGGTGGAGCTGTCTCCCCACAAAGCACTTCCTACGCTTGATGTGTCTACCTGACCATACATTGCACAGATCCATCTATCCCCAGTTAACCTGACTGTTCCTTGATCTTGCTACAACCTCATTACAGCTTTTGTGGTGACTACCTCTGTGCCCCCTGCAGTCAAAAAGGTGACTCCAGCTTCCAAAAAAGCCCAAACCAGCTTCAAAGCAGCTGCTTGAGGTACGAGTAAAACCTGTTCAGGGCTTGAGTCAAGCGCTGTCTCGTGGCTAAAGCTGCTGTCACACCTACAGGGTGACATTACAGGTACTGGTCTGTGAAACCTGCAGTCACATCCTCAACTGTGTGGTGCAGAGACAGCCGCCATGGCACGAGGCTCCAGCTTTAACACCTTGGCCATGTTCAAACCCATGGTTGATGATAACACAGAATCATAGAACAGTTTGGGTTGGAAAGGACCTTAAAATCATCCAGTTCCAACCCCCTGCCATGGGCAGGGACACCTCACACTAAACCATGGCACCCAAGGCTCTGTCCAACCTGGCCTTGAACACTGTGAGGGATGGAGCATTCACAACCTCCCTGGGCAACCCATTCCAGTGCCTCAGCACCCCAACAGTAAAGAACTTCCTCCTTATATCCAATCTAAACTTCCCCTGTTTCAGTTTGAACCCATTACCCCTTGTCCTATCACTGCAGTCCCTAAACATGGACAAATCCCCATCTGCACTGGGGGTGCACTTGTCTACCCCACAGTATTATTGATTTATGGTTTAGTGTGGACGCACCATTGTCACATCCCAACAGAGCAGATTCCGTTTGCTTCTGTCTGCACAATGCAGCCAGGAGAAAACTAGCAGATGCCTGGCTGTGCCAGCGGTACAGGACCAGGTTCCAAGGAGATCCATACTGCTTTGGGGAAGAGCCCTCTCTTCTCCAGCCACACCAACCACCCCCTCACTTGTGGGGGATGCATCTCAGAGTGATTCAGCCCCATCAGCACAAGTGCTGGCAGGGAACAGCTACATCCAGAGCACATGGACTCGAAGGTAGTGAAGCAATGTGACTGACACAGAGAAGCACAAGGGATGCTGTGGGGGAAGCCCATCCAAAACCTCTCCTGCGACAGGAGCTCAGGGGTGGCTGCTGCCATGGGGCTGCACCAGCAGCAGGAGAAGCCAGTGTGGGCATGTGTCTAAAATGGAGCAGAACCAAAGCACCCGACACAAGCAGCTCCTCACCCCTCTACCAACACTGGCCTTTGCTTAGGCAAAATAAGAGATTTTCTGCCTTTAATCAGCTGCACTTTTGGGATAAGGGGCACAGATCTCCCCCCTTAGCACCCCACTGCTGCTGTAAATACTGTAAATCCCTGCTCTTGCAGGAGAGCTCTTCCAGCCTGGACACGACAAGGAACATGCTCTTTTACTTACTTGTGTTGGTACCTACCAGCCTGAGGTCTATCACATCCTGAAGCATGAACCGAATCCTTGAAGAGGTTTTCCTCTCTTTCACAATCTTCTCCATCTGATTAAAATACTGGTCCATGCGAGGCTACACAAGAGAAACAGCAGCAGCAGCAGTGAGGCTTGGAAGGGAACAGGAATGCTCCCTCAGGCGGGGAGTGAGCAGGTTCTGCACTTCTGTGTCAGAAAAACACATCTGAGGACACGGAGCTGCTCCCTGGAGGAGAGGACTGGGTCTTGTGCGCTCCCCCAGGTTGGATTTGAGTGTGCACAGTGCAGGATGTGCAAGAAATGAAGAACAGATCTGTGGGCACCTCCTTCATTTGGCACCTGCTTTCTCTGTGTATTGAATCACACAAATAATCTACACCCTCTGCACAGAATCACAGAATGGGTTGGGTTGGAAGGGACCTTAAAGCTCCTCCAGCTCCAACCCCTGCCACAGGCAGGGACCCCTTCCACTGGAGCAGCTTGCTCCAAGCCCCTGTGTCCAACCTGGCCTTGAGCACTGCCAGGGATGGGGCAGCCACAGCTTCTCTGGGCACCCTGTGCCAGCGCCTCAGCACCCTCACAGGGAAGAGCTTCTGCCTAAGAGCTCAGCTCAGTCTCCCCTCGGGCAGGTTCAAGCCATTCCCCTTGGCCTGTCCCTACAGGCCCTTGTCCCAAGCCCCTCTCCAGCTTTCCTGCAGCCCCTTTAGGCACTGGAGCTGCTCTAAGGTCTCCCCTTCAGGAGCCTTCTCTTCTCCAGGCTGCCCCAGCCCAGCTCTCTCAGCCTGGCTCCAGAGCAGAGCTGCTCCAGCCCTCGCAGCATCTCCATGGCCTCCTCTGGCCTCGCTCCAGCAGCTCCAGGTCCCTCTTGTGCTGCTGCCCCAGAGCTGGAGCAGGGCTGCAGGGGGGGTCTCCCCAGAGCACAGCAGAGGGGCAGGATCCCCTCCCTGAGCTGCTGCTCACGCTCTGGGGGTGCAGCCCAGCACACGGGGGGGTTCTGTGCTCAAGCACTCACTGAAGCCGGGTCATGGGGAGCTTTGCACATGACAAACCTGCCATTCAGTGCGGCTGTTCTCACAGTGCAGCTGATCGGATGTGCTGGGTACCTGCTGCTCTACCTCAGCCTGAGAAAATGTGGCTCAGGAAACTAACAGGCACGAAGCTGCCTGTGCAGACACCATTCCAACACACTGCCTCCCCGAACCGGCTCCGCTGGGGTCAGGCAGGAGAAGCTGCAGCAGAAGCTGCTCTCTACCAGGAGCCTGTTGAACGGGCTCAGCTCTAGTGCGAAATCCTACGAGCTCCATCTCACCCAAGGAGTCACAATGTGATGGAACCCCAAAGGGTTCACATTAAGACACCAACTGCTATCCTTAAAGAAGCCTCCAGTAGGTCTAAATTTAACCTGCCAGGCTCCACAGCGCCTTTTTCCCCCCAAACGAGGCTCTGGCTGTTTTAAATGAAGTTTCAGGTGGTTTTATAAAGTGTTTCCCACTCCCTCACTAGAAGCAGCCAAACCCTTTCCCTTACACTTAAACCAGCAAGAAAAACCCTGTTAAAATTGGGTTCTGGCCTTACCTTTGAAAAGTTTCAGCTTGAGAGCAAATGTTTCCAAAGTTAGGAATGAGGGGGAAAATATTTAACATGGACTTTGTCCAGGAGCTTTAATCATAGCGCTCACTACCCCTTCAGCTTCAATAAGGACACGTAATAAAACATCTACCCCACTAATAGGATACAAATAACAGATTATCACTTGATAGGAATAAGAAATCACCAAGACAGGACAGGGACAGCACAACATCCACCAGCCCTTCCCTGCCTGCACCCACTGTGCCATGCGGTGCCAGGGCTCCAGGTTGCAAAAGGGAACAGTGCACCAAAATGCTGGCTTCTAGCACGTTTCCATGCTCTCAAAGAGCAAACCAGCACCCAGGAGCCATCCAGCGTGATCTCAGCTACTGCTCAGAGGTCAGACCCTGTCTTCTTCCCAGAGCACGTGGAGAAACTGAATCCTGTTCCTGGCACTTTCAAACCTGCATCAGTGATGTGCGCGCTGCTGCGTTAACCCTGCGCTCAGCTGGGCATCAGTGGTAAACTGCACTGGTGTGGTGACAACACAGAACAGTTTGGGAAGCTGTTTCCCCATAAGGATCAGGATGGATCTGCTGTGATCCCTGCAATCCGGAGCCCTGTTAGGGAACTCCCTTCCCGAGCAGCTGAAAACAATTACAGCTCCATTTGCTTCAGAGCTGAGTCTGACTGATTCCTGGCAAAACCCCTGAGCACTGTTTCATCCCAAGCCTGGCTTTGGGGAAGGAGAAGCAGATTGTGCCAGAAGGAGCTCATCGAGTGTGTAATGCTCTGTGCTACATAGATGTTTGTTGGGAAATGGGAAGGAGGAGGATGGAGTGCTGCGGTTGCTTCACTCTGGAATGATGGTGACACCAGGATGCAGGGAGGGATGGGGGGCAGGCCAGTTAATGAGGGTTTTTAGGTTTAACCCTAAAAATACATTCAAATGATACATTCTATAGGTAACATAAACCTTCAATGGTGAAGAAACAAAAAACAAAGTGTTTGGATGAAATATTTGGAAACAACAACTGGAGAACACGGCTGAAAACACTCCAGAACGTTACAAGGCAAGGGAGCGGGGCCAGGTCATGATGAAACATCCACACAAGAGCAGATGACTTCCTCACGCCATTCCTGAAGGAAAACCAAGTAAATCTTCAAGTAAACCCACCCCACACCCATGTTTCCACCCTGCCCACGAGGCCTTGTCTCCCACTCATGGTCCTGCCCTACCTTTGCCTTCTCGAAGTCCAGGTCCTTGCCAATGGTGGTCAGGAGGCGGCAAAGGCACTCGAGGGACTCCTCGTCATGGTTCTTGAGCAGCTTCACCACGCAGTCATGCATGATGGCCTCCGTCAGCATCTTCAGCTTGAAAAGCTCGCCAATGAATTTTATATTCCCAATGGATCTCCGTCGGGCTTTGTCCTTGGCCTCTTCCAGCTCGTCATGGAGCCGCGTCTTCTCCTCTGGCTGTGTAACAGAAAAGAAGCTCTAAAACCCCATGTTCACAGCGCACAGAACTCTTCAAAGGTCCAGTTTTATGTTTATTTCAGTTGATGTTGTCCCTGTTTACTCTTTTTCTCCTAAAACCCCCAGAAGAGGCTGGTCTAAACCCACTGATCGAGGCAAACGGCTTTTATTAGGCTCAGCCACAGGGACAGAAACGAAACTCTCCCCACATCAACTCCATCTTCAAAAGAGATCACGCTCAGAGGGAGCTCTTGAGAGCTTAAGAGGGAAAACACCACTTACAGTGGTTGCAGCTTCAAGTTCCTTCTGCTTCTTTTCAAAGACGTCGTCGTCAGCCTTGTCCTTTTCAAACTCCTTCTGGCAGCGATTTAGCAGCAGCTTGCGGAAGTTCACCGTGCTCCCGGGTTTGTCTGCCATGGGCACCTTCAGCTGGAGGACAAGGAAGAGAAACATCAGCAGAAATAGGGCCAAACTCCACGTATGAGTGAGGCTTCCTACGAGCCATCGTCACAATCTGTCATGTACTTCATATTGGGCAGCACAACCCTGCAGGGCTCTGGATGTCAAAGCATCATGCTGTCATTTCCAGTGGAGCTTTATGTTTCAGATGTAAAGCCACACTCAGAACTTGGCTGACACCACCTCAGCCCAGAGACAATTACATCTCCATCCACAGCATCTTTTAAAAGACACACTGCTTAAAATCACACTTATTCTGTGCTGCACACTCTGGAGCTCTGCTCCTTTGTTGTGAGCCAAGAAGGATCAGGGGCAGAAGGGGGTTATTTTGTCCCAAGTACAGAGACAGGATTCAGGTTGGATGTAAGCAGGGAATGGCTTGAACCTGCCCGAGGGGAGACTGAGCTGAGCTCTTAGGCAGAAGCTCTTCCCTGTGAGGGTGCTGAGGCGCTGGCACAGGGTGCCCAGAGAAGCTGTGGCTGCCCCATCCCTGGCAGTGCTCAAGGCCAGGCTGGACACAGGGGCTTGGAGCAAGCTGCTCCAGTGGAAGGGGCTGGAGCTGGATGGGCTTTAAGGTCCCTTCCAACCCAAACCAATTTGGAAATCTATGATTCAAATTCACCATCTGAAATGAGCTCTCTGGAGCTCAGCTCAGCCCCTGTGGGCTCTCCTTTGGAATGAGACAGAGGCTGAATTCCCAAATGTGACTCCTGCTTGTGGACAGGCTGAAGAGGGTCTGGAGAAGGGCCACAAAGATAACCCAAGGACTAGGAAGCCATGTGAGGGAAGGCTGAGAGAGCTGGGTTTGGTCTCAGGAGACCTCATCCCCATATTCCAGTGACTACAAAGAAGCTGGAGACTCTTTTTTTATCAGGAGTCCCATAGAAAAGACGAGGGGTGATGGGCACAAGTTACTCCTCTGGACACGAGAAGAATCTTCCCAGTGAGAACACTCAGTCACTGGAATAATCTCCCCAGGGAAGAGGTGGATTCCCCAGTGTTGGACAAGGTGCTGGGCCACTGAGCCTACATCTTGCTTGGCCTGGAAAGGTTCAACCTTTCTAGGATCCTTGAGGCTCCTTGCAGCATGGGTTTCTGTGATTCTATGTCTCATTGTGTATGACTGATGTGAGCAGGCAGGGCCAAGTGCCCTCAGCTCCAACCAGCACATCACTCCAAGCAGAGCTTTCTGCCTGCAGGCTTGGCCAATGGATGTTGAAGAAGAAACCCCTTACTGATGCTCAGCAATTAACATTTAACCCTGCTCTTGCCACTTTCATGTCACTGCCCATCAGGTCATGGGGATAACGTGCAGAACATCCCCATGCAGAGGAATTTCCTGTGTGACTCTTACCGTTACAAGACACCTGCACATGTTGGCATACGCCACCGAGAAGCTCGGTTCATCGATGGCCTTCTCAAAGACCAGGTCGATGACTCCTTTCAGCCTCTCCTCTGTGTCTACCGTCAGGTCTGTGACTTGCTTCATGAGCTGGTTGAACATCTGGGGTGTCAGCTTGTTCAAGATGCTTCGTACCTTGCGGAACAGCTCCTGAGGGACAGAAAAACTGTGAGTTGAGGTCTACATCAGATACCTCTTGGGAACGAGCTGGGATGCAGCTCAGAGGTGAATGGAGATGTAGGAACTTCTAGAAGTTACACACAATTTGGCCTCAGCTACCAAAGACCAAGGCTGTGGGCAGGACTTTTGGGAATGCTCAAGTGCTCTTTGTTTCATGTACAACAGAGGCACAAGGCCCTTGCTCCCACCCAAAGTGTCTTCTCGTTATCAGTTTAGCCAAGAGGTAACAGGGAGTGGCTTCCTCCCTCAACCAGAGATTATTGACTTCTGTATTTACTTCAAAGCACCTTTTTCCCTATCCAGAATGACAAGAGGTCAACAATGCTGCTGTTAACCCGGAGAACAGAATTCCTGTGTCCTTCTACACTACCCCAACTCAGCCTTCAAACTACAGTCTGACCAGCAGGCAAATACCTCTGCCCAGAGTGGCTGCCCCACGGAGGACAGGAGGGGCAGACAGGCACAGAGATGCACTCTTGGGCTGTGCAGGAGCTGAAGGAACTTTACAGAGGAACCTCAGTCTTGCTGAGTGTAAGAGGGGATGAAAAGCAAGTTCTGTGCTGGAAGGTTGAGGCTGTTTTGCTTTCGAATGAGACAGGAATAGCCCAGTAAAGAAGCAATAGAAAAACAGTCCTGGAGGAGAAGTAGCAGGTTGTCCAGTGTTCCCTATTGCAAGCCCCTTATTAGACAGGGCTGCCATTTGAACTCCAGGTCAAGTATAAGCACACGAGAAAGCCATTCAAGGCAGGGGAACGCTGTGGTTCAGACTGGAATTCATTGTCCTTTCTCATGCTCTTACACAACAGCGAAAGCAAAGCCCCATTCTCCCTCTGTCACGCACTGCTGTGCTCCCTAAGCGCTCACCCATGCTCTCACCTGTGTTTTGACATTCTCTGGGTCCTCAGTTTGGTTTTCTCTCTTCAGGCTTGGCTTCCAGGCATTCTCTGCCTTCTTCAGGTGCACATCCTCCTTCACACACACAGTGATGATCTTCCTGGGCTCTCTCCTCTGGCCTGGCTGCGATCTCCTCGGTCCAACATTCAACAACTAGGACAAAAACATTCCTTGTTATATCCCCTTTTAAGCTCCCATCTCCATAACACACTCCAGGGCACACGCCAACGCCGACAACCAGCAGCTCCTCCTTGGGCTCTGAGGACTCCCTCTGACCCAACACACTGCTCCAGGTTGGCCAGAGGGAACACGAAGACACCAAACATGCTTCTCTCAGGCAGCTTTTCCCCAAAGCAGATATGGGATGACCATGGCCTACGCACACTGGCGATGCTCCGGATGCTGCCTGAGCACAAGTGAACCCAACTGACAGAAGCAGCCTCTTGAAAGCCAGAAGCTGTAACTGCGACATCCCAGCAAAGGTGTATTTAAGGATTAGGAAGTCCTTACAGGTGTATTTCAAACACTCCAAGCAATCAGATAAAGATCAACCAGCAGCCCTGCTGAAAACGGGAAGTTTTACTGGAGATTGCTCAAACAAAGCCATTCTGGGATGGGAATGACACAAACCACACTGAGCAGAGCATCAGTGCAGCTCCTGCATTGAAGGAACATGGATCCCAACAGAGATGGGTCAAACCCCTTGTAGTTTCACACAAGAAAGGGACACACGGCACTCTGAAACAGCATCCAGCACCTCTCTGCAACAATCCTGTACAACATGATGCTCCTCCCAGTCAAACCAGGTACCAAACCTGCCAAAACTGGTGAGTATTTCATTCGCTGTACAAGTGATAGGGCACAAGACACCCTCAAACTCCCTCTTCATCACTCGGAGCTTCTGATTAAGGATGAAAGGTTCATCAATGCTGTCAGGTTATTCCTCCCCCTTGCTCTTTTGTATTCCTGAACTCATTCATTAGAAATGACCAACCTCAATGTAAAATTAGTGCAGCAACAAAACTCCATCATCAGACACAAGTCCTTCATCTCCTCAGAGGACAGTGGGCAACCTCCATGTGAAAGACAGGCCATTAAAAACCTTTCTTTGTTCAACAAAGGGATTCAGCGAGCATCAGAGAGGCAAAACCAGCTCAGTTATTCAGCTTCACTGAATACAGAAGGAAACTGCTCTTCGCTGGTGGCTCTTATGTGAGCCCCAAACCTGGTTTTGCAGTATTAGAAGCCAAAAGCCTCCTTAAAGACAGGAGCTTGTATCTGCGATGTGAACTGCTTGGCTTTGACAATGTCAGCGTGTGCTGTGGGTGAATGCAAACACAATCACCACCACTGCTGGAGCTCTTATTTGAGCTTCATTATGGGGTAACAGCAAGAGAGTAAGATGTTGGCAAAAGACAACCACCTCACGCTGTGCACGATGCATGCAAGAGGGGGACATGGTGTGTGTCACCATGCTGCCCCACCACGTACCAAGATCTTAGTCCAGATCCCAGCAGCATGCACAGAAATAACCCATCGCATCTGGGTGCAAGCCATAACTGTAATGCATCCGTGTGAGTCCATCACTCATGAGGAACCAACAGCAGAACAAGACAACAAGAACGGGGGGATCTTCATGCTGCTTTTGGGTGTTAGAACCTTCCTGCACCAGGTACCAATCCTCTCTGCTCCCACCAGCTGGCGTTGAGAGCCCTTGCTTGACACCAGCACGATGCAATGAAGCCCGCTTTGTATGCTGAGACACCCACCTCTGCTCTTACACCATTTCACACAGTTCTGCTGCCCAAGTTCCAACCACGCCACAAACGTAGGGCTGGGGAAAGCAGAAACTTCCCTCCAGCTGGAAAACCAGACAATGATGCAACAGCAAAGCGGCTGGCTTCAGCCACGGGTGTTAGACCTCACCACACAGCTCCTGGCCCACGGGAAGCTGGGGAACCAGAGCCAGGCTGGCAGCAGGCCCTGAAATCCAAGTGTTTGGGCTCATTTCCCCAAGGAACCCAGGCAAAGCCAACGAGAGGGAACCTGTGGCTGCCCCATCCCTCCTGCAAGAGGCAGCTCTGCTCTGCAGGACCCTCCCAGTGCAGCTGGGTTGCAGCACGCGAGGACAGAGCCGCAAAGCCATGGAGCTCCATGGGATACGGGTCCAGGAAAGCCAAAGCCTTGGCTTGAAGAGCACACATGCCTCCCTGAGGGAGGTTACTATTCCTAAAGCAGAGTATTCCAAGGAGCACTTGTGCATCTCCTTGCGTGCCACAGCCTCCTCAAACCCGGCTGCCTTTGAGACCAGACCTTCAACTGCATGCCCAGAACAAGGACTTCCTTTAGGATTGTGTTCTTTCGATATCTGTGAATAAACTCGGTTCAAACTGCTGGATTAGGCTGTAAGAGCAGCGAAGAGGAGCCTCCTTTGAACATGTAATAAAATCATACACGGATCAAACTTAAAACAGAAAATAACCTAGGGTTTTCTGGTTCCAGATTTACAAGGCAGCAAGTTAAAGGGATGCTTCCCTTTTGTAACCTGGCCCCAGTAAAGAACAACGGGTCTGCACCACCTGCACTTACAGGGCTACAGCTTGCACTGAAACAGTGTTTTCCACCATAGGCACAGAGAAACGATCACCTGCATCCATCTGCATTACCTGTCTTCTGGATGAAGAGGGAGGAAAAAAGGAAAGCAGGAAGAAAGAGGGGCAAGCCTCCTGCAGAGGAGCCCAAAACTCACAGCAACACAGCACAACCCATTGCTCAAGGTCCACTTCCACTCTCAGGCCACGAGTCATGGTAACTTTGAAAGCCATCCAAGAAGTGAAAGAACTGCTTCTCCCTCTGCAACAGGCCTCAAATGCAGAAGGGGAAACTGGAGTGACTCTGCCTCCCAAGGAAGCACAAGCATTGAGGTGACTCGAGATCCCATCACCCCATCCTGCCTTGGTGTCTGGGGCCGACGGGTCCTCTCCAACCCTACTCCTCTGTGTCTGAACTTACTACCCACTGCACTCCTCTAACTCCTTGTCCACACCAAGAAGTGTTTATGAACTCCACTTGGCTGCTGTGTAGTTCCACCCCTTGCGTTTGATGCGACATTTGTTAGTTCTCAACACAGTCATACAACACGTTGAAGCAAAAAAGAAGGAAATGAAGACAAAGCCAAGGAAGCAAAACAAAAGATTCTCAAGGTGCCAGAAGCTGGTTAGCGCTGAGCTGCTTGACATCACCTCGAGGGCGAGCGATAGGCAGTGGGTTTAATGGTTCATGGGCATGGCCTGTGCAGAGGTGGGATGACCGAGTGGACAGGCAGCGTACACGCAGGGATTTGCCATGCTTCACGAGAAGGCAAGGTCTGGTTTTGCTCAGGGCTGAAACCCCTCTCTTCCCCTAACAACCACCGCCAGAGGGCTGGTGGGATCACATCACCTTCACACCCTCCACGACAGAAACGCAAAGGAAGGCTCAACTCCGGGAAGGCGCAGATGTAGGATGTATGTTATGTGCTGAATGCTCCAAATGAACGGGGTAAGCGGGACTTACCTTGTCTCCCCCTTTCCACAGGTCTGCAAAGTGCAGACCCCTCGCGGATCCCGCTCAGGCCAACGTCCCAGCATGCCCTCAGCTGGTGATGTCCCACCCACCACTGAAGACTGCCTAGAGGGGTACAATGCAAGTCTGGTTTCGGTTTGCTTTGAAACACGGTTGCACCTTTTTGTAAAGTTTTCTGCCAGTGGTTCTTTATCAACAGCGGGCATTAGGGAGAAAGACAACTCTACAAAAAGGTGCAAAGATGTGGGGGGGAGAGGGGGGGATTTGGCTTACCCCTAGCGGCAGGTTCCTCAATGGTGGGTGAGGCGAGACCAAGAGAGGGCATGCTGGGGACCCGCACCGAGCCAGGGAAGGCAATCCAGGGTTGCTCTGCACTTTGCAGGCCTGTGGAAAGAGAAAGAGTGACAGGGACGTTACCGAGATGCTGGGAGGCTCGGGACATCCAGCGCATGAAAGGAGAGAAGGTGCCACAGTGCCACCTCCATGTCCTACACACAGGGAGCGAAGTCGACCTCCACCAGCATCGAGGTTTTGGCACCCAGTGGTGCTCTGAGAGGAACCAGGGCACCAAAGCTACTCCAGGACACGGGCACAGACCCCATGGCACAGGCCACAGGACCACTCTCAACCCAGAAATGCAACATCAGCTCAAAATCACCAGGTTTGCCTCTGAGCCTCAGGAAATGTGCACGCTTGAAGCCGAGGTCATTCAGTGAATGCTTCCAAAACCAGCAGTTTTGAAAGATAAATGATGGCTACGTCAATAGATACACCCAGATGGAGATACTGGATGTATCTTAATAGGGAGCTGAAAATCCATGATTGCTCCTAATGGAGCAGCCTCCATCCTCAGCTGTGCTGACTGGGCAGGACCATGCTTGGGGGGGGCACCTGCCCCCCAAGGAAGAGATGGCAAAGGCGAGAAGGAAGAATTCAGAGAGGGATTTCAGAGCATGGGCAAAGCCAGACACAGGGGAAAGATGAGAAAGGGAAAGAAAAGAAGAGGAAAAGGCAAGAAAACAAGGAATGAAGTAACCAAAGCGAAACACCACGTGGAAGCACGGAGGAAGCAGGAAGACAGGCTCTGTGTATATTGTGCATTCTTGGTTTTTGTTTCTGGTTAGTAAAAGCTCTTTGCTCTAGCAGTATGTTTCATAAAACAGACTCCTGTGATGGTACATGCTGACGCCGGGTTGTTGTATGAGAACCGTGTGCTCACACACGTGCCAAGGCCGGGTCCTCAGCGTGGAAACGTGCTTCCACACCTCTGGTGAAGGGAAAAGGCGAAGGAGATCAAATCCATTGAAGACCAATACGTACCAGTTCAAACCATCCACCACGCTCTCCTAATCTGCCTACAACAGCCAAGACAACACCACCCTGGCATTCATCCTGACACAACCAGAACCACCGGAGCATCGGCAGAGGCCCGAAAGCCTGAGGATGGACTTCATCAGCATTAAGGCCAGTTTTATATCAGCAAGTTGGGGTAAACTCACACTTCCAGATACGTTTCTTCCCCCGGGGCTTTGCCTCCCAAAGTCAGCAAAGGCTGGCGTGAAGTCTGGTCCTCGAGGCAGTATCCGGGGGTCCAGAGTTCTCAGTGGCATTTTTGGCTGATTGACCTGCATTGTGGTGCAGAAGAGACACAAACAGGACCTGTTCAGCGGGTGCTGCAGCACAGAGCTCATCCAAGTCTACAGACAACCTCTGCTAACCCGTACCAGTCACATTTACTATCCAAATGAATGCTTTTAACAAACCCTGCAGGTCTTATGCATCCACATTTACACTACACATAAGCATTTAATCTTCTGCAGGTGGCTCCAGAGCAGCTCAGTGACACTTCAAGGCTGAGCATGACTCTGGAGGATAAAATTAATGCTGACATGGGCCTGCCTTGGTTCAGGATCACAAAACTGCCACCTTCCCTCAAACAAATGTCTTTTGTGTTAACAAGACAGATGGCCAAGCGAGCAAAGGAAGCTCAGATGCAGACAGAGCAGTGAGAAGCCATCACAGAGAACTAGTAGGTGGATGAAATCACTTGGGGAACAATTTGTCTGGGTATGAAATTCAGAATGGAAACTTTTCTGCACATGAGGATCACCTACGTCCTCCTCTGTGCTTCAGTCTTAAGAGCGAGTCTGTAGTGATTACATCAACATCAACGAACTCCATAGGCCTCACTTAGAGGAGAATAAGGGCTTGGTGTCAGCACTTCAGAAATAACAAGTGTTTCAGTAAGCACAGATGTACAGCAGAGAAAATCACATCTGTAATAAGGCTGAAGAGAAATCACACAACTGCTTGCGAGCTGAGGTTTCATCAGATCGGCTCACAAACAGTGGCATAACTGTTTCAGACCAAAGAGTTTGCCCAAAAGCTTGCCTATGCTTTCTAACCTTAGAACTGATGTGATTAAAGACACCACCTCTCTGTTTAGTCTTGCTTTGCTCCATAGGTCTTCATGGCTGTATCATTTTAAATGCTGATAATGACCCAGCACAACTGAATCCAGATAAGAGACCATTGAAAACGCTTCAGTTCTTAAATCATCTGTGCACATTCATTAGGCACCAATGCCTCTATGGGAAGAACTCTGTGATGTGACATCAGCCAAGTATTTCCCCTTCCCAACAGCAGCTTGCATCACAACAGTCCAGGAATGAAGCAGGCACTTGGATCTTTAGCTAAACACACTGCACGTACCTGTTTGATGGGCTCTCCTCTCACCTTGTCGAGAACCACGTCGCTTATGGGAGGCAGCCCCTCCGGCTTTTGGATGCAGACAGGCATGAACTGGAAATCCAGCAGGAACTCCCTGTCATACTGCTTCTTCCCCTCCGGGTCCAGGGGCTTCCACTGCTCTATAAGGAGAGAAGATGCCTGAGATTCATAGGGAACCAAACCCTCCTCTCTCCAAGATGTGTTTCCATTAAATCCAAAGGGAAGAGGTTGCTACAGCCTGCGAAGCTTTCACTCAGCTTTATCTTCATACTGAAGGCAGCGAGGAGAGGACACACACTGCAATAAAGGAACACAACCACTGGGGAGCATATAGCCAATGCCAGCAGCAACCCCCATGGAACTGATCACCAATTCCAGTTCCAACCTATGGTGCCTTGTTTCAGCTCTGAATTCCACTCTTGTGTGATACGATGAAACAGGGACAATTCCCAGAGGTTTGGGGTGAAAATGCTAAAGTTAACGCAGGGGTTTTGTGTAAGCATCCTTTGAAACCATGGGAACACGGAGCCTTTAACAACCCACGCTGGAAATAACAGTGGGAACTCCAAGAAAATGCACAACCCCAGGCCATGCTCTAAGAATCCCAACTTTTCACCCATTTTTTGCTCCTTTCCAGGCAGGAGAAATACAGTGTGGAGAACCTCACCTGATGCAAATCAAAGTGTAAACCTACGGCCATTCCAGCACAAGGAAAATGGGCATCTGGTCGCCTAAAGATGGGATTTTCCTTCCTGGCTGCACAGTTTGCAGTTAGGAAAGCAAACCTGGATTTGCTTGGCAGCCAGGCTGTCTTTATCAGGCCCCTGTGCTGGGGGCCCCTTTCCTTCTGAAGGAAAACATCTGCACGAGATGCTGCCTTTGTACTGCACTGGTGCCCAATGGCATCACTTCCCATTAATCCAGTTCAGGTTTGCTGTTAAAGGGTTCTATTATTCCTTTATTTAAGTCCCTGATCACCAGCTTTATGTCTCTGGGTTCTCACCATCCTCATCTCTGCACAGGTCACAAAGAGGAACTTACTTCAGCAATGGGATTTAGTAACTGGGAGCAAACACACACAAAGGGAACTACAAACTTAAGCTCTCTGTGCAGTTTTGTTTCTGCAGAGCTTTGGGATAAAGAGGTGCAGAAAATAGTCTGGTGTTCCAGCCAGTGTTCCCAGCCAGCTGCCTATCCCGTGCCACAGCACCCTTCATTTACCATGGGAAAGCCCTGACAGCACCAAGAAACAGTCTGGATGTACAGCTCCCTTCTGCTGGAAGGCTCTCAAGAAGCTGTTTTAATGTGAAAAGCAGCTGGGCAGTGTCACTGGCTCCCCAAGGAGGGCACAAACCAGGATCAAACACACAATTCCTCCTATGGTTGCTTGATCAAAAGGCAAAACTCCCCCTTTATAGAAAGAGCAGAGCTGAAATCCAGTGTCACTGCACCAAGCAGCCAGGGCTGCTCTGCAACCACAGGGTAATTACCTAACAGTGCTGCTCCTTGTCCAGTACCTCATGCACCAGGCTCCAAAGGCTCTTCCTTATTCTGTTTTATACCCTTCTATTTCTGGGCTCCCAAGAAAATGAGTAATTTATTTGGAGGGAGCTTCACCTGAATAAGAAATGGCTTAAAAATCGGTAGCAACTGAGAAGTCGGTCTCAAGGTCTCTTTCAATGAGGTGAATTAATAAAGATTGAGGCCTACAAATTAAATATCTTAATAAATAACAAAACCACCCCTTGGGTATTCTACATCCAGTGCTACCCAGCAAGGAAAGGACCTTATCTTGTGAGCCCACACTTGAATCATTTCATCAAAAGAACTGCCCTCTCACAGTTCAATAGCAGAGCCTGGATGAAACCACAAACTCTTCCCTTTCCTTACTCTTATAGAAACCTGAAGAGCTATGCAATGTTTTACCCAGGAAATTAAATCTATATAACACACATAACTCCTATTTAGGACTCAATCAGAAGTTATAAATCTCTTACTGAAGGAATATACCAACTTATATGGAATTTCTTGGATCATTCTCAGCTGTCAATCACACGGGAACCAATTCACCACCATTTCCACCGTGCTGCAGCCAAGGTCCTCAAATGCAACAAATTCAAGGAATTGGGGATTTCCTCTTCCCTTTATTACCCCCAGCAAGAGGAAAACAACCTTCCCCTTGTGCTCCCCCAAAGGTGTCTCTGGGCCCATTGGGTGGTGGATCCCAGTGAAACACTGAGTACCCTTCCAGCCCCACTGGAAACATCCGTTATTCCATGGGGAGGACACATGGCCTTTCCCTTTGGGAGGCACAAACCCAAGCAAGCTCACAGGAGACCGAGGCAGGATTTACCTGGTTTGTACTGGTACACTGGCCCTTCGCCGGAGCTCTCGGTGAAGCCCAAGTTTGCTTCAGTTCCTTCTCCCTCGGAAACGCTCTCGGCACCGTTCCTCACGGGCTCCGCTTCCTGCTCCCCATTTTCCTCCACAGGTTTTGCTTTCTGAAGCTCAGAGGGCTCTCTCTCCAATTGAAACCCATGGCTCATTTTCTCCGGGTCAGATTCAAGTACTTTGTCACCTGAAAGTTCCTCTTCTACTTTAGGCTGAGGCACAAGATGGAAACATAAGAGATTACGGTAAAACCACGCTGTCAGGACTCAAAGCACGGGAAACTGCTCTTATTTATTCACACAGCGTTTCTGTGTGCCACAGGATACACACAGTCATCTGGAACACTGACAAGGAACAACACACAGAGCCCCCGGGTGATTTACTGGTTCATTCCTGGAGAGAACCCACCAGTAATGAACACTGCAACTGGAGACACTCAGTGCTGCCCATGGAATCCCCAGGAGCTACTGGGATAGGATGAAGGAGCTGTTAAGGCATGAGCAATGCCAGCCTGGAAAGCCAACCTCACTTTTCTCCTCTCCTGCAGCTCAGCACCCCTCTTATAGGGCATGCTTTGGTTGGCTTCAGAGAATCCCAGACTGATTTGGGTTGGAAGGGACCTTAAAGCTCCTCCAGCTCCAACCCCTGCCATGGGCAGGGACATCTTCCCCTAGAGCATCTTGCTCTAAGCCATGTCCAATCTGGCAACGAGGAGCACAGATACAAAGTGGTCACATCTTCTGCTGAACACCTCTGTTGGATTTGTTTCCCCCCTTTGCAGTGCTGGTATCATGACGACAGCCCAAGATCAATGCTGCAGAACTAACGCTCCTCTTGCATCCCTTTTTAGCAGTCTGTGAAGGGCAGCGTTGCAGCACATCCACATCCCATCAGTGTGTGGTAGAAGATCACAGAATCGTAGAATGACGAGGTTGGAAAAGACCTTTTATGATCATCAAGTCCAACCCCCTTGGCAGTGCTCAAGGCCAGGTTGGACACAGGGGCTTGGAGCAAGCTGCTCCAGTGGAAGGGGTCCCTGCCTGTGGCAGGGGTTGGAGCTGGAGAAGCTTTAAGGTCCCTTCCAACCCAAACCAGTCTGGGGTTCTGTGATACACAGAGTATGAACTGGGTGCAGTTCCAGCAACATCCTTCACTCTCTGGCTTGAAAACAAGCACAATGATGCTCTTAATTTCTCTGGATGACTCAACCATCAGCTCTTCCACTGCACACAGACCAGTGTCACTGCAGGATACCCTGCACATGAGCATTGTTAAGTGTCTACTCCCACCCAAAAGGAGGGGAAGACACTTCTATGTCATTGGTAATATGTAAATCTGCTACTTCGGGGGGAAACAAGCACTTGCTTACACAAAGGAGGAGGCACCATCCACAAGAGTCAAGATTTACTCGGTGACAATAGGCTTTATAGCAGAATGGTTCAGTGATGTCTGCACTAAGGGCAAAGTGTGAAGGAAACAGCAGATAAGAAACTAATAAAAAACTAAGAAAAACTGGATAACACCACCAGTTGTTATCAGTGCAGAGACAGGCTGAGCTTGAACACTTTCACCCTCTTATTCCCTTCTCTGATCTAGTCCAACCCCAATTTCATCTAGGATATTAAACCAAGAGGTCCCTCCTGTAATATCTCACCCGGAGCAGCAGCAATGGAGACTTTCATTACTCATCTAATTGCTGTCAAGGTGGTTTTGTCTGCAGACTCCAGGCTTTTCCTTTCTCTGCTTCTCCATCAGGTGGTTGTTAGGAAAACTAACCTGGCTGTGACATCACTGTGGCATCACTGTCCACAGAACCTGCCTGATGTCATGGTGATGGCACCCAAACAAAGCAGTGTAAAGGGTTCAACCCCACTTTGGTTCTCATCCTTAATCCCAGAGTCATTAGTGTTGGGAGGGACCTCATCCAGTGCTGCCCCTGCCAAGGCAGGGCCACCCAGACCAGGTCACACAGGCACTTCTCCAGGCGGGTTTGGGTTGTCTCCAGGAAGGGAGATTCCACACTCCCCCTGGGCAGCCTGTCCCAGGGCTCTGCCATCCTCAACAGAAAGTTCTTTTTCATATTGAGGTGAAACTTGTGGTTTAGTTTATGGCCATTACTCCTTGTTCTGTTGCTGGGCATCACTGAAGAGAGTCTGGCATCATCCTCCTGGCACCTGCCTTTGAGCCACTGATCTGCATTGACGAGATCCCCTCTCAGTCTGCACTTCTCTAGATGAAACAGGCCCAGCTCCTGCAATCTCTCCTCATAAGAGAGATGCTCCAGACCCCTGACCATCCTTGTGGCCCTCCTCTGGACATCCTTGTCTGGAAGGACAGCAGTTGGATGCTCCTGAATGCTGGTAGTTACTAAATCAGGCAAGAGCAAATACAACTGAAGAGCTGTAACAAGGAATGGACTAAACCCCGTTATCTAAAGGGTACTGAGGAATTATCACTGTTGTTCCCCCATAGAAGCCTGCCCTGCATCCTTGCAGGACAACTAGGCAGCAACGCCTCTAAAATACAGCTTCAAGAGAGCAAATTCATCATTAAACTTGAGCAAAGCAGCACTGTGGTTCCCTCTTACCTCTGCTTCTGCCTCTATCACCTCCTCAGTGTCTTGGGTCCGGTCTTTTGGTTTCTTCCACGTCTTTGGTGCAGTTAGAGCAGTTTGGGCTGCAATGTAAATGTACATCCATTACAACACTCAGTGCTATGGAGCAAATCTGCCCGGGGGTGATGCTCTGCCCTCTCACACAACCAGTTTTCCGTAGAGGCAAAGGAAGCGGTCACAGCCTTGCGAGGGTTCAGACTGAACCAGTTTCGTTTCAAAGCAGCAATGACACTGTCATTAGAAGGACATTAAAACAGGGTAATTGTTTTACAAGCTGCTCATTCAGGTTTGACATGCTACCTGTGACACACAGAGTTTGTTAGCAACAGCGTAAGGATCATGCAGGGCAAAAGACATCCTTCAGGAACAGGGCTTTGAAGGAGCTGAGAGTGCTGGTTGCTCTCAATGTATACCACAGGAATATAATGAGAGTTAAAACATTAACCATAAACCATAACCATGGACAGCCCCAGTTTTCCAGTGTGATCCAAAAGGACAACTCCTCAAATCTTGCAGCACTACTGGCTCTCCCGAGCTGGATTTAGATTGCACTTTAAAAGCAGGTTACCAACTCCACCATGCACTTATTTCCCTGGATTGGAAGAAAACACCAGGTAATATTCCTAACATCAGCAGTGATTTACTCTAACCACTTTTCTCCCCCCCAAAGGGTAAAAGAAACCACACCATATATTAGGAGAGGAGACAAAGCATTAATCCAACATGCTTGTAATTAGTTGCAAGTGCCACCAGCTTAACGTCTGCTATGAGGCCCAGATGCAGATGTAACACAGGGCACAAACAGAACTGATTTCGTGACTGAAGTTTACTGCAAACAGATTTCCAGCCCGAGCCTTTGGTTTCCAGCAGTTCTTGTGGCAAACCACAGCGTGCCCTTCTTTTATCACAATAAAACACCACTCTGAAAGGCCCTTTAACTATGGAGGGTGTTATGACAGCCTGCCTTGTTCCTATGGGCACAGAGGAAACAGGATCTGCGACATTCCCACTGTCCCAAAGGATACGTAGGAGCCTCAGCAGTTTCTTAGCAGCGTTTTCCTGTCTGGAGGGTGACTGTGGACTTGTTGGCTGTGGAAATCAGGACCATCAGCACACCAACACCAGCCCAAGGTGCAATAGGAGCTACCATGACTGGTAAGAGATGTCGCCTTCATGCTGAACAACACAAAAGCAAAGGTTGCTTAAAAAAGCCCAAGTCTAATTCAAATATTCATCGTCAGGTTGTCCCCAGAACTGATGGTTCATGGAGGAGCTGGAGAAATCAGCCAGGTCTCCCAGTCTCCTTGTCCTGCATCCCCATCCATCACAGGACCCTATGGAGCAACGTGAAGTTTGAAGAGAACAGAGCCCCAGCTTGAACCTTGAACCTCCCAGGGCTCAAAGGAGCAGAGAAACAGCCAGTGGGCACAGGCTGCAAACCAGCTTCACCTTGCACAACTGGGGATCAGCTCTTCCCATGGCTCCGGCAGCCTGCGGCAGGAAGAGCCACAATCTTAACGTCATCATGGGGTGAAACTGGGGTTGGGTCAGGTCCATGCAGTGATTTCTGTGACTGAGCAAAGCGAGGACCTAAGTGAGGCTCCACAGCTCCCTCCATCACCAAATCTGCCACAGTTTAGTGAAAATAGTGCTTTTCAAAGGTCAACCTGCTGCATGGAGCCCATGGGGAGATGCCTCCTTGTTTGCTGGTGCCACCATGAGGGTTTCGTTAAGGAGGAGGTCACGTTTGCACAGTAATGACCCAAATACTGCCATAGCCAAGTAATTTCACCAAAAAGGAGATGGTTTTTAACCCCAAAGTTTTTAATTTGACAAAATTCAAGTATGGAAAAAACATCCACAGTGTAAAATAACGCTTCGTTTTAAATACACAGAAATAAACTCAAGGTCACGGATTTGGGGTTGGCAAAGGTTTAGGGTGTGACTTCCTCAGCTCTCAGGATGTTAACACTATTGCTCCTCAGTAATACATTTTTTCCACCTTTTCTTTGGCAGAAGAAAGCTATATAAAGCTGTGATCCTGCCGAGCCTCCTGAATGAGCCTCGCAGCTTTTGCCTTTACTTGTGTAGATCCTTTTCCTGCTTTGGGGTTTCCCTACACGAGGATGCTTGGCCAGACTCCTGCCTTGAATCCCGAGAGACCTCTGGTTGTGCAGCCTGTACCCCGGGACCAACACCTGGCTGTGTTTGAGAGCTGACTGGGGTACACCAGCGAGACCTCTGAGACGTTGTTCAACTTCTCCCCTCTTAAAAAGAGCAGACATCAGATTTGGTTTCATTTCTGCTACAGGAACTGACTCAACAGGAGCGTTCACACTAATGTAAGCTTAGAAGATTAATGGGAGTTTAGGTGCCAACTCTCCCACAGCCAAAACCTGACCAGGACAATGGTGTTTCAGCTGCGAGGGTCTCCACAAGCTGCAGAGAGCAACAAAAATGCAACACGTCCAGTTTGGCTCTAGGAGGGGTCCAAAAGCCCCTTTAGGCACTGGAGCTGCTCTAAGGTCTCCCCTTCAGGAGCCTTCTCTTCTCCAGGCTGCCCCAGCCCAGCTCTCTCAGCCTGGCTCCAGAGCAGAGCTGCTCCAGCCCTCGCAGCATCTCCATGGCCTCCTCTGGCCTCGCTCCAGCAGCTCCAGGTCCCTCTTGTGCTGCTGCCCCAGAGCTGGAGCAGGGCTGCAGGGGGGTCTCATGAGACCTCTGATCTGCGCTACCTCAACCCATTTCTGCAGCTACATCATGTTCTTCAGCAGAGCATCTTTCTGCAGGAGATCCCCCCCACAAGCTGACAGCCCATCAGGCGAGGCAGAGCAGACAGTCTCCTCTCTGATGTGGGTGCCAACTGCTAAGCATAAATTAATACCAGCTCTTATATTTCTCTTTCTTAGCCCATGTGCCATTATAAACCAAAGCAAAGACTTGCCATCCCCTTACAGCTCATGGGAAAGAACATATATTCCAGTGCGCTGTGGCAGCAAATCAAGGAATAGGCGATATCTGATTTATGTCTCTGGGTGCTGGGGATATTTCCAATTACTGCCCCAAGCTGCTCATTTATGGCCTCCACAGCAAAGAAACTCAGGGACTTGCAGATGGTTGGGCTACTTTATATTGAAATACATCTTATAAATGAGCTCTGCAAGAAACAGCCCTTGGAATTCAACACGTACGAAGCTTTTTTGGCTTCCTGCGTTCCTCGGAGTTCTGCCTGGGACAGCCATCAGGCTCCTGTTTTCCTCTTTGCTCCTCGTAATAGCCACAACAGAAAGGTGGTACCAAAAGATGCATTCAGAGCATGGCCTCAAGGCTTCGAGTCTGGGAGTGACACCTCCTTTAGAAATGCCCCCTCCTCCAACAGAACCTCTCCAGTTTTGTTCCCTGAGGATGCTGGTCCCTCACTGCAGCCGCCAATGCTACTACAGATAAACCAGAATCTACTGACAAGAGAGGTTGCCTGTCATTGATGGCTTCAACTGGAGCAACGTTTCAGTAAGGATGACGGTTCTCTTCTTGATAATATCTCTATTTTCTTTCCTTGCAATGAAGATGAGTAGCAATTAACAGCTGTGTGCTCTTGCCCTTTGCAGATACAACAGCTCTGCCCATCCTGAGCAGGCAGGAACAAGACCTGCACCCTCCACAACTGCAATAGTGGGAATGTGCCTCCCCATAGCCCACATTTTGGCAAATACTTGGAACAGAAACACCCTCAGTGGCAGGAAACCGGACACTTGGGTACAACATCCTGTCTGTAGGGTGAAAAACTGCAGTTCTCAGGGGTTTAATGCTCCAAAACCCACCAAATCTTCCCCATTTTGCAGGGGATTAGAAGCAAGAGCACCGACGAGCAGGCTGCAGATGAACTGCTATCAGATACTGAGACTAAGCCAATGAAGTTGCTATCTTCATCATGCAGGCTAACACAGCTTAGGACTTAGAGTAAGAGTAGACAGAATATAGTGCAAAATAGAAAGGAAAACCAAGCACACTCCAATGTCCACAAAATAAGAATACAACAGAGGCGCTCGGGCAGAGATTCTCCAACCTTGGAAATCTGGTGGAGTCGTAATGCCAGTGGAAAAGATAGAGCAGAGGTTCCCCTGGATCCCAATTGGACCAGCTCTGCTCAGAGCCCAGCTCCTCCTGCAAACACTGACAAACTCCTTTCTTGAGCTGTAAAACAGAACTGCTGGAGAATGAAGATGTTTAAGGATGTTAAACCTCTGTGGTCCTCCTCTCTCTCTACAGCTTGATGAAGGAAAACACGAAAGTCTTGTTTCTCTGACTGGGAGACAGAAAGTGCATTCTGTTAAGTGCTTGAGAAACAAGCAAATAACTTCATTCATCCCTGAAAAGCTGTCGCCTCCATCACAAAATAGGGAACGCTGCAAGTCTTAACACCACTGCGTCCCTGCCCGTGGCAGGGGTTGGAACTGGATGAGCTTTAAGGTCTCTTCCAACCCAAACCAGTCTATATTTGTGGCCAAACTGCTCTGCAGTAGGCACACATTCCTGCTGGAACCCCTAAGGAAACAGTGTTAACAGTCACAGAGTTCATGCTTACCGGCATGAGTTTGAGAGGTTTTCTTTATCCCAATGTCTATTGTACCTCCAGAGACCACAGAAAAGACTCTTGGCCTTTAGTCCAAGGGAAAAACAGTGATAGCAGCAGCCCTTCCTCCTTGCTCCTGAAGCTCAGCATCTGTATTTTCCAGCATATGGCAGAGACCTGCAATTCCTCATTCAGCCCAGACGGATGCCTGAGTGAGCAGTCACCTTCAGATGATGTTACTTAAACCTCTCTTCCTCTCTCCAAAGAAGAATTGGGAAAGTATGGCTCAAAAAATGCTTAGCACAGCAATGCAATACAGTTATAGGTCATTAAAGGAGGGGTAAAGCACCCAACAGTGACTTGGGAGAGTATTTTGCTTCCCTTGAAGCACTGAGCTTTTAATAGGAATTACAGTTTCAAGCGCTCTTATACATGACTTGAGAAATCTTCGTTTCTCTGTTGCCAAAGCCAATGCATTGGCTAATGTGGGCTGTCCATCCTAATGACATTAGAGCATTAAAATTCATCTGCTGCATAATTAAAAGCTCAAAATGCTTTTTGTTTTTCATCTAAACTACAGGCCCTCACAGAACAAGCGCTAACAGTGCAAGCTGGAGCCTGCCTGGGTAAAACCTGATTTACAGAGAGTCCCATTTCCCTGCTTTGTAAGGAAATTAATTTGTGTTATGAAGTGGCTCAGCCTGAAGGAACAGCAAGAGCCAGAGCAGTGAAATGACCCGAGCAGAATAAAAATAGAAGATGAACAGGACCCCCCCCGTGGCTGCTAGAGCAGGGTTCTTTCTGATCTTCCCAAGATACAGGGTTTTATTTCAGGTCCAGCATATTGACCTAGTGCAGCAACACACAAATATGGAACAAGGCCAAGCTCAGCTTTTCATTTAATTTAATCCATAGCAGACAGTAGCTCGAGATGCTCCTGATGCCAGTGCACATCCAGGGCTGGCTTATGAAAGAATAAACTGGAAAACACCCCAAATCCTATTTTAAATGTTACTTAAAAGACCCCAACAAACCCCCCCCCCCAAATCCCAGCCTACTCTTTCTGCTTTGCCTCTTGACCAAACTTCATCAAATTCCAAGGATATATCTAAATAAAACACCTCATTTTCCCAGCTCTGAAAGGACTCCAAAACGGGGGAAAGATGAGACACATCTAAATGCTTTAACACTGCTAAACATGCACAATAGCCAGTGTTACACTTGCCGCAGCAGCTAAATACAATCAATTGATTTAACTTGATTTCCAGTATCATTTCCAGGAAGTCCTGAAAAAAATCCAGTTTTCTATAGAAAATACAACCATGAAAAGACAGAGGTCTACATGAATCCATTCAGTGCTAACCCAGCGATGACAGAGGACACTGAAACCAAAGGCAGGTGGCAAGGCTCAGAGAAACAGCCTGGATTCTCAAAGGCAGATATAGAAATGTCGAGTCTTAGTCACGCAGCACGATCAGATTTTGCTTTGGCAGACAGAAACGGAAACACCTGATGAAGGAACCACCCCAGATCCCTTTCCATCATCCTCCAGTTCACTGCACGCACCCACGGTGCCAACACTTACCTGGGACAGGACTCTTGCTCGAGTTTAAACTCTGAGCCTCCGTGCTCTCCTCCAGTTGCCCATCTGCTTCTGTCTCTTCCTTCTGTTCAGTATCTTTTACCTCTTCGCTAAGAGTAGTTCTTGTGCTCTCCTCTCCTTCTAAATCTCCCTGGACAACAGGGAGGGCACTAGGAGATGGAAGAGGAGGTGGAGAAGGAGTTGTAGTGGTAACAGCAGCAGCAGCAACCAAACTGGGAGGAGATGGTGGCGGGGGAGTGGGAGGTGGGGTGGGAGGAGGAGAGGGAGCAGCGTGAAGAGCACTGGAAGATGGCACGCTTTCCACTTCTGCTGGAGGTGCTTCGGGGGTCTCCAACTCAGCAGTCAATGGTGCAGCTTCCGTCTGGGCTACATCTACAATGCTCTCTGCAGCAGTTACCTTTTCACTAACTCCATTCACCTCATTAATTAGATTAGTACTAGCAGTCACTGGAATATCACTAGATGCTACACTACTAGGCTCCTCGCACACCTCGGCATCAGCCTCTTCTGCTGGCGAAGGGTCTGACGTGTCCGTGCATGGTGTGGCATTGGATATAGGCATTGCCTCCTCTTTTGGGGAAGCCAGTTCACATGTCTCCTCTGAGTCAGCTGTGAAGGGGGGTTTACTAGAAACGGTGACAACAGCAGCAGATGGAGCAGCAGGAACAACTGCGACGGGAGCGGTCGGGGTTGGCGATGGAGCAAGAGGAAGTTCTGGTGGGGTTTCCACTGAGGTGGCCTCGGCCGCCTGGCCAGCTTGATCTTTTTTCTCCCCAGTAGGTTCTGGTCTGAGGACTGGAGAAGGAGGTTTTAATACTGGGTCTGGTTTTGGCTTCTCTTCTGGGAAAGGAGAGAAACAAAGGCAATGTTACAAACAACAAAACAACCCCACTTCCCTTTGCTGTACCTAAGCCCCCCGGTTCCCCTCGCCTGCATCCTGCCTTCCATCCAAGAAGCTCCAAGGAAGCCACCTGAAGTTAACCCTGCAGGTAAAAGGGAGCTCCAGGCAGCCTGCAGCCAGTCTCAAACACAACCCCTGCTCCTGGTTTTCTGAATGTAATGGCCTTCACAGAACAGGCCTGGGAAATGTTACAAAAGGTGCATTTTGTGCAGAAACTTGCAGCTGAAAATGGAATTTTTCTTGACAGAAATGACAAAAGCATCACTTTACTTGGGTTCTGCCTCAGAGGAGCCTGGGGCTGCAACCCCGAGCCACGGGCCATTCTTTTACAGATGCCACGTGTTGTGCCATTATGAACACATGGGATGCATTGAGTTTATTTTTCCCCTTGTTATTCCTCAGCTCCACCACCATCAGCACACCAGACTAAAGGACACATCCTCTCTGTCTGTTCTAAATTCCAGCAGATACCTCTGTCCAAAGAAAGCAGAACCAAGAAGGGATTTAAGCACAGCCAAACAGCATCATCAGCTCTTGATGTTTGTGGTCCAAGGGTATCAAGCAGGGAAAAGGTACCTGCATGTGTCACACCAAACCCCAAACTACTGAGCACAGAGAAGTCCCTGCACTGATGCTGTGATGACCAAAAAGCTTTGCAATACCAGCCCTGCTGCAACCACCATGCAGCTCCCAAAGCTGAGCTGCGTTTAACACATTTATTCCCACTTCTTTTGAACAAAGTATGAGCCAAGATCCTAAAATATCCTACAGAACTACTTAGGATCTCTGTTACACCCTCTCCTGCCTCTGATTTGGTGACAGGATGTAGGTAGACTGTGAGATCTTGTGTAGGGAAGTGGCTCCATGCTACGACTCTGCAAGACGGATGAGACACTCAAAGCCAACGTCCTGGACTCAACAGCCCAGTTCTAACTAAGCCCTGTTACAAGATCAGCTTTGTCTGGCCTCAGGGAGCTGTGCTCTGCCCCACCAATGCAAAACACCCCAGGGCTTTCTGAGCCCTGAAGCATCAGGGAGCTCCTTTGGGACACTGCAACAGCAGGCAAAAGTAATTCTGGAAAAGGCAGAGGCACAAACCCTGCTGTTCAGATTAGGAAACGGAAGGCCACATCCAACCCCAAACCCAGTTAGAACCGGATGATTTGTAAGGTCCCTTCCAACCCAAACCATTCTATGACTCTATGATCAAAAGTCAGTTAGAACTCAGGTATGGCTTTGCTTGGTCTTCTCCAAGCTCTTTTGGCTTTCCATTTGGGGCTTATTCAACAGATAGGCTGAAGGAAAAGGGTTTTTGAAGGAGAACCCATCTGAAACTGCTTGCAGCACCAAGTCCCATCTTCAGGAACAGCTGGAGCAATGAAGAGTTTTGCTCCCAGCCGTCGACATCCCCGGCAGTGCTAAAGGGAGGACCATGGCCAAAGCAGTAGTTTAACTTAATGAGGCACGTAGGGATATGGCTTTGGAGGAGGATGACAAATGAGGGAAAAGATGGGAGAAAGTATCCCAACATCTGATTTTGATTCCAAAGGCTCCGTGGAAGAAAAAGGACCCGGGAACTGCCTTAGAAAAGCAATTGTGTCACCTCTGGTTTCTGGAACATCCTTTGCAGAACTCATGCAGCATTCCTGACATTTACAGCTCGCTGTAAACAACTGCCTGGATATTCTCTCCCTTGAGTCAACTGCGATTGCTCCAAAACAAAAAGAAGGCATCTGAAGTGTCCAGAAAAACATTCCAAGAGATAAAAACCGCAGCAAAAAATACACGACTGTGTTTTAAACCAGTGTTCAACCACTGTCCTCCAACTGCACCTTATTTGGCCAATGGATCAGCCACCAATACAGGCTGCGTGTGCAAAATCCAAGGAGGAAAGCAATTTGAGGTGGGGGATTTCAGCACAGGAACGAGCAGGTTTGGCTGAAGAGAAGTAAAGCTTAACTGGAACCAGCAGAGAACAACTCTCCAAGCCCTGGCAAAGGAACATTGATCCCTGCCAGCTACGACAGCAAGTGTCACATGGAACAACATACAGTTGGGAAGGGAAAACAAAAATCAACGCAATTCATCCCAAGTGAATCAGATCCCTTCTAAATATGCCAGCATCACTCCTGACATTATATTTAGAAGGTATTTACAGGAAGCACTGGGCTGTTCAGGAGCAGAGTTTGCTCCTTCAGGAGGTATTTTTGATCAATACAGATCTGGCCAAGTTACTCATTAGAAATACTGTGACCAACTCAGCAGGACAGATGCTTGCTGCCTCCTCCATGCAGAGACATAAAGGCCTGAGAGGGACCTGGGTTGCTGCGTGGTCATGGCAGCAGGGACCGCCTGGAGCAGTGCATGGGGAAGATTTCACTGGACACAGGGATTGGTTTCTGCTTCGTGGTGTTTATCTGGAAATGATCGCTGGGCTTGCTGCCATCTTTCCATGCTCTGTCCCGGTGCTGCCGCCGGCTTCGCAGGCAGCTTTTGGAGCCCACGTTAGGAGCCCTGCTGTCAGCCGAGCAGCTCGAAGCTTTCCAGACTTCAGGAGCTCTGCTTTCCACAAACTGTGTCCCACATTTTCCATGTCCACTGCAGCGTTTACAGAGAGTTAAAACCCCATAATGATAATACTCCAAACATCGCACTGAGCCTGAAGCTGAGTCAAAGAGGACAACTCTGATTTCATGCACAATTATACCCCGTTACAACTGGCCTGAAGCCAGGTTCCTGCCCTGTCTGCCACCAGCTTGACCTGGATTCTTCAGCAATATCCTCACCTTCTGCAGCCCGGCTGTTACTAGGAGCACCTCTAGGAATGACAGCTGCCTGTCTGTTCCCAAGTAACGCTCCTTCTCAAGGTATCAGAGCAGCAAAGTTCAAATCATCTTTGAAGCCTGAAAAGCCAGAAGCTGCTGTAAAAGCAGCAAATGCCAAATGCTTGTCTTTTAAAGGAAAAAAACCAGGACGTTAAATGCAATACAGTCCCAAATCCAGCCTTGCAAAAGCACAGGGATTGCAGTTGCTCACAGTGGAAAGTAACAGAGGCCGGGCTGCCGGCACCACACATGCTTCAATCCCGATCCTGGAGCCAGCCAAGGGGCCACAGTTATAAATAACTGCAGAATGATCACTGAATACCACAAACTTGGAATGACAGCTTTACCCCAAACCTCAACTGATGCAAACTCGTGCCCGAAGTAAAGGGCACAAGTGAGGATGCGATCCAGAGGATGAACACGGTGGAGAGGTCTTAAGGGACCTGATAATACTCGTTTTAACCAATGTTTGCTTAAGAAAGCCATGCACCCCATCTATGCCTGGTTTTACCTGGGAACAAAAACCCCAACATCAGGCACAAAGTGAGAAATTATTATTTCCAGAAAGATGTGCCACTAGCTTGCCTGAAATCAATGATTTCAATGGTATCTAAAGTTCCTTCCCCTTCCCTTTGCTCTGTGCTGTGACCAAGCCCACTGCTGCTGCCCCAGCTTGAGGTTCATGGTGTTGTTTCAGGGTGCTCTTGCTCTGCTGTGCTCACCCAAATGCACTCTTGAGCAGTTTTTGGATTGGAACAAATGTTTGACTCTTTCTGGGATGGAACAGATATAAATACAGGAAAGCTCATCAGCGCTAAATCCCACTTGAAGCTTTGATTTATAGTTAACCCAGCACAGTCAGACCTGTGTAACTAAATAAAGACCACATCCAGTTCACTTCCAGTTCCCTACAAAGGGATTAAGTTAAGAGAGAAAACCCACCTGTCCTGGAAATACAAGTTTTCATACGCCAGGGAGGTAAAGTGCTGGATTTTATGGTTCAACATTAACTTGCTCAAAAGGGCAGATGTATTTTGGTACTTGCACCTCAGGCATCAGTTGTTCAAGTCCCGGTGCCACCATGCACCTTGGCATGCTCAGAGATACCCCTGGGATGTGGGTGCCTCGGCAGAGGGGGGACAAGGACATAGACTGGGAAGAGCAGCTGTGCCAGAGCTGAGCGAGCCTGCGAGTCCTGCTCAACCACCACCATCATCATGGATTCCATGGGTATTCAAACCCACCCACAGCGCTTTAGGTGACACAGACATCCAGGTTTTGCACAACTGTACAGAGCCATTGTCCTGCTTCATGTGGGAGATGGGACCAGATGAAAGGGGAGACTGAGCTGAGCTCTTAGGCAGAAGCTCTTCCCTGTGAGGGTGCCCAGAGAAGCTGTGGCTGCCCCATCCCTGGCAGTGCTCAAGGCCAGGTTGGGGCTTGGAGCAAGCTGCTCCAGTGGAAGGGGTCCCTGCCTGTGGCAGGGGTTGGAGGTTTAAGGCCCCTTCCAACCCAAAGGAGTCTGGGATTCTATGAATCTCAAAAGCTTCCACTTCAACCATTTCCAGACACTGCACCAGTTCAGAAACATATCCATGGAACGATTTTCCCTGGGGGAACACCCTGAAGCCTGCACCACTGGCTGTAAAAGAGCAACATTTCCAGTAAATTTTATCATCTGATACAAATGAGCCTCAGGGATCTCTCCTTTTACTTCCAAGCAGCAATGATGCCGCTGTTTGCATCTAGGACAGCTGAAGCATCACATGCAGATTCTCCCCTCTTTCCTCATGAATGAAAGGGCATTTCTCCTTTGGGCACCCCTCGGAGGCAGAACCTCCAACACTGCAGTGCGGAGAAGAACCGGGACACAGCGGTGGTGTCGAGCTTGAATCCCTACACTGGCTCCGTTAGCTTGACAGCAGCACACACCTCATTAAACTGCTGTTTAATGGCTTTTAGGTGGCTGTAAAGTGTGGGAAGAGACTTGGCACAGGTTCCATCCTCCCTCCTGGGACACCTTTCCTTTGAACTGGTTAAAAGAACCTGCCTTTAAATGTATATTCTTGGATAGGAGATGGAAATGTCATCACTTTGAGAAACTTTTTCCATCCGTGCTGTCCTTCCTAAGCCAAGTCTGATCACTTTGCTCACGAATATGTCTTTTTTTCTAATTAATATTGCCCATGTCCTGCAGGACAAGACAGAGCAGCAGCTCTGGAGGAGCCATATGATGCTCTGGTTACGTGCCGTACCTATGGCTAATTGTCCAAGTGATCTAAAACCTCTCTGGCCAAGAGCATTTTGCTGGAGGGTGGCACATGGGCAAGAGGAGGCTCTCACTTCCAGATGCTCTGAAACAACATTTAGGACATATAAGCTCGGCTACAATTATTTTTAACTGGTTTCACATTGGCAAATTTCAATTAATTCCCTTAGCAACACATTGTTAAAATGTTCCAGTGGAGGCAAAGTCGTCCCTCCCCTCCTATTTCTGCTGAGTGCTTGTCTCCATGCCAAAAATACTCAAACTAAAACAAGAAACGAGGCAGGAAAAAAAAAAAAAGAAAACGAAAAAGACTAAAAATAATCAGGGAGGAAATAGGAAATATCCATCAACAAACCTTGCTTCGGGTTGCTAGTCGCAGTGACAGGGGTGCTGGCAGCGAGGTGGGTGCTCTCCACAGTCCCATAGACCACAGGGCTGTGCTCGGGGACCTGGCTGGACAGCTGCTGGGATGTGAAGTACAAAACAGGGTGACAATGAGCGTGTGAACATAAGAACCAGCAACGTGGAGCACAAGCAAGTGGGGAAGAGGGTGGGGTAGGAAAGAAGAACCAAGGGTGAGGGGAATAAAGAGGGAAGGTACCAGACCGAGTGAATGAATTCAGAAAGTATGTGGACAAGGGAGGGAGGAAAAGGCACCAGGAAAAGGGGAAAGAGGGACAATCACAGTTAACAACGAGAAGGAGACAGCACAGCACAGTTATTAACACACTTCATTCTCCAAATGCTTATCCTAAGAGCAGCAGAAATGTTCATCTGGGTAGGCTGCAGAAAGCTGGATACACACAAGCTGGACCCTTTTAATCTGTGTCTGCTTTCTGAACTCCACTCCTTCCTCCACTCATCAGTTACTTCAAACACCTTAGATATTTCAATATTCATTTATTTCTCTGCGTATTTATTTATAGACAGATAACGTGTGAGCAAAGAGTGCTTTTTTATCTCCATGCACACATAGGAACTTGTTATTGCAATAGGAGAAGAATCTGGATTGGTTATACCTCGGTGGTTGTATGAAGGAATCATCTGATACCTTCTACAAAGAGACGTAGGGATGGTGCCTGCTGGGTCACCATCAATCTAAAGGAGAGCAGGAGGAGCTGGTTCCCAATCAACGGGGACTGAGCCTGAGGTTTTCTATATAGAGAAATAAAACTGTGAGACCAACAAAGTCACAAGAGTGAAAAAGCCACAGCCTGCTGCAGAGACCTGACCTGTGTGCCCACTGTTAACGGGACAAACACCTCACTTGTGTTCACAATGGTTCCATAAAGACAAAAGAAAATCCCCTGTATTTTAGCTCACAGTTTAAGGAAGACCTCGTGTAAGAGCAAGTGACTGCAGCAAAGTCACTCAAAGGTAAAGGTGAATCCCTTGGGTATGTTTGAGTGAACGCAGATGGGGCAACTCAAGTCTTCACAATTGCAAAACCCTTCAACATGCTGCAGGGACCGTGGGAGGATGAAAATGGGGCTGAATTCCAAGTTAATACTCGGAAGCAGAAGCCACGCTGTGTGTTGCAGGTGCCTGTTCTCATCCAGTCACTCACCCAAGCCAACCATGCACAACATCCATGGGAAAAGGCATTTTGGAGCAGTCAAAATAAAGCCGAGTGCCCAGGACACAGGTGTCTGAATGCCTTTTTTGGGCAGGCTATCAGAAATACAAACTCCCTGGCAACCTGCTCCTCTTCCTGGGACTCCTTTTTCCTCCCATTTCCAGCTATTTTATCTAACAGTGCAGAATAAGGAGTGAATTATCTTCAACAGGACACTTTTCACCATTTCAGGACACAGAAAGGTAAAGGAGCACTGGGAAAAAGCACATCTGGAAAAAGAGAGACCTAAGTAAGCGGGGTGAAGGGTTGAGATTTTATTTGGGATTGCTCCTCTTCCTGGAAGGAGCCCGATGAGATTGGCTGGAGGATGGATGAGGAATTGCATCCCGACCTCCAGCCAAAGAAGGAAGCCAAAGAAAACACGGTTTCACACATGAGCCAGTCTGGAGAAGGCTTTCCCCTCATCCTGTTTTATTTCATGTAAAATTTATGGATGAAAGCAGTGGGGAAAAAGGGGAATGTGATGAGAATGACAGGGACCAAGCGAGACTGGTGGGCAAGGAGCCTGGAAACTCCCTGGGTCAGAAAACTGGTTTTGTTAAGACCTTTGGAAAACACTCTGTTTTGTGGGAACAGCATCACTAAGTAATAGAAATGGGACTGAAGGCCTGACCCTTCCAGGCTCGTGGCTTCGAACTGGAGCATTCAGAGACTTTCCAAGGAAAAACCCCATTTAAAATTACTCTCATGATTAATGATGCTAAAAGTTGCTCTGCGTTACCCCATCCTACTGCAGCTGTGCACTGAGAAACCCAAAGTGTGACAAACTCATTGACACTTGGAAGAGGCTCCCCAGGAAAATGAGAGTTTCTCACTTTCAAAGGTGCTCTTCTGTGTTAGGGACTGGTGAGTAAACACCAAGACCAGATTCCATATGTGGGCCTGGGGTTTATTTATCTTCCCAGTAAAATATATAGCATGAAAAATAGCATTCAGCCAGAAACATAAATAACATCACCTAGAAACACGTAAGTAATGCCTTACTGCCAGCTTCCCTTGCAGGAACTTTAAAGCACTTCAGCACCACTGTGGAGGTGCTGGGAAGGCTCCATCTAAAGCACTTTCTGGTCAGCTACAAAGCAGGAGGTACAAAAAGCATGGCAAGGGCTAAAACCTCGTGGCTTGAGGCTTGCTTGCCTGATAGACAACTTCAGTGTTCTTTTGGTGTGAAGCACTTGATCTCCTGAGAAGAGGGGGTGCTCTGGGCTTGGGCTGTCAAAGTTTCAGGGTTACTGTGAGTCAGTTAAAAAAATAATCCAAATCTAAAGGAAAAATCCCATTTTTTTATATCTATTATTACTGCTGCTATTATTATTATTATTATAAAAGGCTTCTTGAATTTGGGTCAGGGACTGGTCTGTGCCCTTCTTGAGCAAGATTTTCTCCATGCATACGCCATTTAAATAAAGAGATTACAGAATCAGACACTGGCAGTCAATATAACAGAAGTATTACCCAAATTCAGCCCAGAGATTGCACAGCCACACTTTGAGTGTTCAATCAGATGAGATCTCATCAACCCTCCCAAACTGCAGGGTTTGATCCCAAGGAGCGGTGGAACAAGACACCAGTAACGCTGCTGCCCCTGCACCCAACAGGGACTGTTTCACAGGGAGTTGTTCCCAGGGGAAGCTCACACTGACTGGTCACTGCTTTTATCAGCTGCAGAAAGGGAATATAAGAAAGCTCTGGAATGTTTGTGCAAAGTTGTAGCTGAGTCAGTTCTGGAGCAACAGCACAAGAGGGACCTGGAGCTGCTGGAGCGAGGCCAGAGGAGGCCATGGAGATGCTGCGAGGGCTGGAGCAGCTCTGCTCTGGAGCCAGGCTGAGAGAGCTGGGCTGGGGCAGCCTGGAGAAGAGAAGGCTCCTGAAGGGGAGACCTTAGAGCAGCTCCAGTGCCTAAAGGGGCTGCAGGAAAGCTGGAGAGGGGCTTGGGACAAGGGCCTGTAGGGACAGGCCAAGGGGAATGGCTTGAACCTGCCCGAGGGGAGACTGAGCTGAGCTCTTAGGCAGAAGCTCTTCCCTGTGAGGGTGCTGAGGCGCTGGCACAGGGTGCCCAGAGAAGCTGTGGCTGCCCCATCCCTGGCAGTGCTCAAGGCCAGGTTGGACACAGGGGCTTGGAGCAAGCTGCTCCAGTGGAAGGGGTCCCTGCCTGTGGCAGGGGTTGGAACTGGATGAGCTTTAAGGTCCCTTCCAACCCAAACCAATCTGGGATTCTGTGATGAGCCTATGAATATACAAAGTTTACTCATTTTCGGCTGTTCAATACTGTAACATCCACTACTGGAACATTCCACTACTGGAATTCAGGCACTGAGCACAGTTATTAAGGCACAATCTAATTTCATTCAAGATACTAAACTTGCTCCAAAGAAATGAATTGGAGATGATGTTGGGACAATAACTTTGAATTTCCTGGCTTAAGTGGGCTTTAATTTTCAGTTATGTTACACTAATGAACTTTTTCTGGTGAGCACTATTCCAGAGCTCTTCTGTGATTAACAAAAGTGGTTCCAAGTACCTCATCAGAACGAAGCCTGGATATTAAACAATGAAGTATTTGCATACCTTACTCAGAGTAGATGATTGGACATCACTGCTGTGCTCTGCATCTGAATTACAGCTGATCAAAATTCATGCCTATTAACCTCCTCTTGAAAAACATTCATTTTGTCCTGTTTGACTTAATTGTAGAATCTTAAAATAGTTTTCAGAAGGCCAAAGTGATCCATAAAGTGCCTGAATTAGCTGCACCATGCATAGGCACGACCTGAAACCTGGCTGCTTTCAGCTCTTCCACACTTCTAATGGGGAAAGTCATTCAGTATGAGACAATGGGAAGGGGATCTCACCAGCAGGCAAACACTTGGCATCTCTAGTGTCTCCTCTGATGGAAAAGGCTTGGAAAAGTCTAATTGATTCTATATGTAACCAGCTCTGGGTTCTGTCCCCTTCCAGCTCTACTCACAAACCCCCAGACCAGAAACCCCGTGGCAGAAAACAGGTTATTCCAGCTGAGTATCACACACCTTTGTTGCAGAACCAGGAGCTGCTCGAGGTGTCTTGCTGCTGCTTCCCATGACGGAGACCAGCAAGAGAAAACAGGTGACCCAAAAGTGATGCCTTCACATGACAAAAGGGTGTGATTGAACCAGGGTGATGGCTAAAACCTGTAACTATCCTGTTGGCCACAAGGGCCAACACATCTCACACACCCCTGTGACACTTTCACTGGCCCAGATACAACCTCAAGCTCCCACTCCAGCACAGGGTGTCTCAAGGTGAGCTTGTGCTCTTGCCTCAACAAAACTACCCAGAAGCAGAGGGAAAACAAGGTGTCAGCTCAGGAAAGGCTGGTTTACCTGAAAGCTGGCAAAACCTGGGGACACTGAACAGTGAAGAACTTTGGAAGAAGAGGAAATTGCACCCCAGCCTCAGCCAGGCTCTGATCGAAAGCCTACCCATCACTTGGAGAACCTTCACATCTTCTAATCCAAGCAGTGGACAACAGCCTCCAACAAACACAGCCAACCTCCAAGGCTCGTGCCAAAAAATAGGAGTTCCTTCTCCAATTGTTCAAAACCTTTTCAGTTTAGCAGCCTGTGGCTTAGCAGCATCTCTCCCAAAGGAGAGGGAGAACTAAGAGGATGTATGAAGCCAAGAGCAGCGACACCAAGCTGGGAGGGGGGAAGAGGACCACAGCCTCTCCATCTCTGATGATATGGGGAGAGATCAAGGAGGCATCACCTCTTCCTGCTGCAGGTGGGGAAGGGGGGTCAGAAATCATTTCCTGATTAGATAACATGGCCACTTCCAGCCAAAGCAGCTCACGTTGTGATGGACCTAGGTTGACGTCAGCTCCGCTGGTCTGCAAGGCTCTGGCTCCAATAGGACAAGAACAGACGTGCATTTCCAATCAGTTTAACTTCCACATGGACTTCCCAGGTAGAGCAGGATACAGAGACTTACAAGGGCCCAAACTCAAAGGTGTGTGTCAGAAAGATTCCTGAGCTATGGAAAGTGTCACTTTGGGATATTTATGCTTTTTCCTACACCAGAAAAATGCATGTTTTAAGGCTGAACAGGTAGAGACCAAACGTGCAATAGATTTATCCCAGTTCTCTGACAAAATTCCTGAGCTACAGGAATTCTGGTGACTCTAAAACAACACTACTAAGGCAGAAAGACATTAGCATGGACAGTGATACAGGCATGAGATGGCCTTTCCTCAGGTACACAAGACTGACAGAAGCATCACATTTCTCATTTCTTCCTTAACACTGGAAGTCTTTACAAGCTTTAAAACCTATTGCTGACGCAGAAGCAGGGATGGGCAACAAGCAGCAGTGCTGCAGCTCCATGTTTTCCAAGCTAAAGGCTGGGTTAGGGTTAGGGAGACAACAAATCCTTGTAAAACATTGACAATTTAGGACCATCCCGGTGTTGGAGGTGAGGGGTGGCGTGGACGGGAGATGCGGGGTTTGACTCTAACAACCAGCAAAGCAAAGCAGACATCACTGGGAGAGGGCTACAGGGCCACTTCCTTACCTGAGGTGGAGTCGGTGTGGAAGTGGGTCTCACGATGGGAGGCGTTGGGTTCCTGCTGCCCCCACCAGACATGATTTCTTCTGTTATATCTTTGCCTCCCTGGTTGGGATCCCGGATTCGGATCTACAGCATTGAACAGAGAAGGGATTCAAGTGAGTCTTCCCACTACACACTCTCCTTGGGGTTTATGGAGAGGAGACATGGACAGGCTATAATTCCATTACACCCGGTAGGAGCTGCTCTGGGTTGAGTTGATGCTCTGCAGAACGCTGGAATGTGGTCTGTTTTGATAACTTGAAATGCCTGGTATCTAATTTAATCCCTTAATCTCTAATTTAATCACAACACCACACCAGTTAGGCCTAAATACCTGCACCCAGTGTGTGACCCTGTAATTCAGAGCACGGTCCCTACTGCAGGATAAGAAGTTTACTGCAGCTTAGAAAATCTAGCAGACAGTTTAGCTACAGAACTCATCTGCCAGCCAGGGGAAAGTGCAAGAATTAAACGAAAAGGCCCTGTTTTACCCTGATATGGAATCCAGTGACCTTGCCAAGCCAGCTGCTGGTGAAGGGGGAAAGCAAATCAGCTCTTCCTGCCTTTCCCTTCCAAGCTGGGAAGAGTCACACCAAGAGAAGAGAGGGAATCAACCAAAAAATCCTGAGCGGAGGAAAGGGAAACCACAAGAATAAACTCAAGTCCTATGAAACTCATCAGCATTTAGGAAACGAGCCTGGGTTGGAGACTCTTCACAGCCCCAAAATGGGAAAGGAAAAACATCTTCCAAAATAAACCACTCAAGAGCACACTCGTTTGAATCCTCAGCTGACACTGGAGCCGATCTGAGTCACTGAACACTGCAACAGTCACACTGCCTGGGTCAATCTGAAACAGAGCTTTTAATCTTCAATACAAGAGTTAAAGATTTTCACAAGCCTGAAGCCAGTGCTGCTGTCTGTCCCCCTCAGAAGCTCCTGGTTTAACTCCACTGAAATTGGTGCTGAAGTCCCCATCATGCTGAGCATGATGCACAACCAAAAGACACAATCTTTCTGAGGGCAGGGGGCTCTCTGGAAAGCACCAGGCTTTAATCAGCACCATACAAAGTCAGAAGCTGCAGAAGGGGTTTGGGATTTACCCACTTCAGTGCCTGGCTCTTTGATTTACAATAAATACACACATGGTGCTTGGGATGCTGGCAAGATGTGCTCCTCTCTTAGTTTTGATGGAGTTTTGCTGCTAAAACATTTCGTTAACCACAGCACAAGGACTCAGGAGTTGGCCCAAATCTCTGCCCTCTCCTCCTCCCAGGGAATGTTTTCATGCCATGCTTGATGGTTTGTAGGACTTGAATGCTCACTTAATGGTGCAGAAGGGCACGTGTATGTATATACATTTAGTTTTTCTTTAATGTCTCTCATTTCTTCAGTCCCAACCCCAGTTAGCAAACTGGAACAGAGCATTCAGGGCCAAACAGCTCAGGCATTTAAGAAACCTTTTGCCTTTCCGCTTCGGAGAACTTGGCTTCCCTGGCATGAAACTGCCTTAACCACAGCTGAATGTTTCTGAATGTCTCTGCATTTCAAACAGCATCAACGATGTGGCCATGCTGTGCTCTGGATGCTGAGAAGAAACTCCTCAGGCCTAGCAAGGAGGTGGCAAGAGCTGCCTCACCCTTTGCTGACAGCAGCTACAAGAAAAGCCACTCTCACAAGCCCAGTGGACACATTGTTCAGCTCTTCCAGTTTCCCAACTCAAACTTCATCTCAGACCAGCTTCAAAACTCAAAGACACAAACATATGAGACACATACAAGTCCCTTTCCCCCACTCCTCCCTTTGGAAACAGTTGAGGGCTTTCAAACCACTCCAAAACATGCAGTGATGTAAAGCAATTTCCTTTTCATCCACAAGTTTAAGACCACTCTGAACTCTTTCTGTTTAAACAATACATTCACTCAGTGTGCCTTCACTATTCCCTTCCACTGTCCACCTGCAATAATAATCCAGTGATAATGCAATAATCTGCCCCTCTCAAACTCTCACCAGTGAATTGGGAAGTGAGGAAGTGTGGCCTCCAAATCCCTCAGCACTTCCACGTGTTCAGGTTCTTTCAAGCCTGCCCATATGTCCATAACTTGCTGGGTTTCTGCCTTTTCCAAGGCAAAACCTATTTCTTTTTAGTCAGTTGCACCCAATTCCCAACTCTCCCAAACCGATCCGGGTCTGTTCACTGGTACAGCTCGAAGCAGCAGCACAGGCAGCTCAGGGACCAGGCCTGGGCACCCAACACTGGTTTCCATTTATGTTCACTGCAAAACCACCAAAAACCTTTTCCGTTTTGTCTGGCTGAGATGTCACAAACCCAGAGCACAAAATCCCCCCACAAAAATCAGACACTTGCAGCATTGTGCAATGTTTAATTACACTTCGCCTGTGAAACTTGGTCTCTCTGTGATGCTAAAGCTCAGTTTAAGCTTAAGATCATCAATAACTTCCTTCAAGCTTACAACCAGGACAGACCTTGGGTGGGATGTACCAATCCATGACCATCACTCACCGTTTTTTTCTCTCTTTTAGCTGGTGGAGGCTGCTGCTGCTGTGTAGGCACTATGATGGGTGCTGACTGATACACTGGCTGACTTGGGTAGAAAGGTGTTCCTGGGAGAGGAGAGAACAACAGAAACAAGAGGGAAAAGGTCTATTAATGAAACTAAACCAAGTGCATGATGTAAACCAGACCCATGTGCTCCTCCCTCCCTTCAAACCCCACAACTACAAGCATCCACCTGGCCTGTGTTTTGCTCCTCCCCACTGCCATAAGCCAGAAGCTGTTGCTCCATCATGACACTGATGAAGTCCCTATTTCATTTCTTATCTCCATGAACACAAATGTCATTACAAGCAATGTTCTCATGCTGCACACAGAAAAAGCATGGCCAGGTTTATTGTGGAATTACACCACCTTGATGATTACATTCATAATACCCAATGGAGTTTTGTTAGGTTTTTCTGTCTGCAGTAAGACTGGCTCAGAATGACCAAGTGCTTTAAAATCATGCCACATATAAAGGTGGCCTTGTAGAGCAGTCTTCTGCCTGCAGATTAGACATCAGGGGCACATGGAAGATGGCACTGGGTTTCCTTCTCTCCAGGCATGAATGCCACAGGACTGCCTGTCTGCACTTGTGTCTGGAGCAATCTCACTCATCCTCCAACTGAACCAACCTTTAAATGAGTTGTGTGTCTGTAACCTGAACAGGAGGTTACTGCTATCACAAGTAAATGGTGAAATCCAAGACACTGAATGAAGGCAACCCAGCACAACCTGATCTGCAGTTTCAAAGGCTGCAGTTCCCTAAACTGGGAACTGGGAAGCAAAAGCTCAGAGCAGGCTCCTGTTTGCATGCTCAGAGGGAGAACATTTCTCTGCTGAGATAGTGGGCAAGTAGCAGAGAGCATTGCCTGGCACTGGCTTAGGGCTGTGGAAAGCTCAGCTGCCCAAATTCCATCCTGGATGCTGCAGTGAAGGTGGCCTAAATGATTCAATAAACTTCTTATTGTGAACTCCAGTGACTTCAGATCTGGCCTCAGGGCACAAACGTCTCTGCCCTAGACTCACAGACCGGTTTGGGTTAAAGGGACCTTCAAGCTCATCCAGTTCCAATCCCCCACCATGGGCAGGGTCACCTTTCACTGGAGCAGCTTGCTCCAAGCCCCTGTGTCCAACCTGGCCTTGAAAGAGTGCCTGCAGCTTGGGAAGCAAGAACCCTCCTGCCTCTCTCTTTAAGAACACTAACGAAGCCTCAAACTCTTCCAAGTGCTGCTTTGGCCAAGCTGGCCAGGTGAACAGCATGAGCTTGGATAACAGGAGCAAGCCTGGGAGCCTGGGAGCCTGGGTTCATCATCTTGATTTCCAGTTTCCTAGAAACCAGATCTAATCAGCCAGCCTGTGAGGTGATCCCTGCCTCCGACTGAGCCACAGAAGGAACTCAAGGAAGGAATCCCGAAAAGCAAGAGTAACTTCTGGGAAGAAATACAGCTCCTGTGGCAACAGACCAAGTGCAACAAAGTGCAATTTTCTGTGCAGCTCTGTTCTCTGTGCTTTGGTTTTTGTTCCTGTTTTGTTCCCAGTTCAGCAGCACCCAAGTTTCATTCTCCTTCCTTTCCATTCATCCTGTCAAGGTCTTTCCGGATGCAGCGCAGAAGCTCACTGATACCAAATGACGACACATTGCAAAGCTGAGACAATTACAGAGGATGCATTGTCCATCACCCCAAGTATTGTCCTCTGCAGTACTTTCCCTTCCCCCTTCTTTTCAGCCTGCCAAACTGCAGTGATTTCGCATCTAGCAGCCACACTGGCTACAAAGTCCTGAGGTTTACAGGCAAGGCCCCTGCCAGCAGCATTATCCATGCCCATGTCATAGATTTCCTTGCCTCCCAGAGCCATGGTGAGATACTGACAGTCCCTGTATGAACAGCAAGGATGCAACAGGAGGGAAGGGTGGATGAGCACAGGCAAACCTGCAGTCATCCACTTCCTTGGCTAACCCTGCTCTGCCTGGCAAACTCTGGGCACAATGGAGGGCTCCAGCTTCACCCACTGACACTCTGCAGACGCAGGAACATAAAAGCAAGCTGGGACTGCAAGGTGACAGTCTCTGTGCAAGAAACCAGGCGCCTTCAGGAGTGGAAAGGGACCAGAAGGGAACCTTCTCCTCATTACAGGAGTGAGGACAGACAAACGGCGCTAAGCAAGCAGAAAGCAAGAGAGCAGACCTGTAATGGCAGGAAAAATGAGGAATACCAGGCAATTTCCCCCTTTACTGGATCAGATTTAAAGAGCCAGAGCAGTATTTCTGCTCTTTTACTAGAATAAGCAAACAGGAACCAGCTGCCTTCTAATTGCTCTCCCTCCTTTTTACTCAGGAGCTACATAACCAGGTTTGAAGGCTTCGTGGCAGCCTGTCAAAGTAGTCCCATTAGCTCTATATACACCAAGAAAAGGAAAGGGAAGAAGGGAGGGGAAAAGATGACAAGTAGAAAAGCAGCTGAGGCTCTTCTCCCCTTTAAAAGGCATGTGGATTTGTGAAGAGCAAACATGCAATTCTGCCAGCAATAAGGGGTTGTTTCTGTTCAGCCTGGAAGGTGATCATTCACTTCTAAGGCTCCAACATACCAACAGCTAAAGCCTGAAGTTGCATGGGAAGCTGATAAAATCTCTGCCCCCCCAACAGACTACAGGCCGTGTGTGGGCAGGTAGCAATGAGACTGAACAAAATACCTCCAATTTGATATTGAGAGGTGAAAACCCTTAAAAAGCCCCCACAAAACATTACAACAGGGTGATGACTAGAATCATCCTGGTGGCTTTTCCAAATGTTCCCATAAATGAGCAAGGGAAGGTAAATAAAGAAGTGATAAACTTGACTGCAGGATATCTTGATTCTGCATCTCATTCAACTATAGCTTGCAGGAGGCTGATTTAAATACCAAAATACAGATGCCACTGAAAAGCTTACAGGGATTGTGATATAAATATGATATATCTTGTACATGGCACCACGCTGGAAATTACTACGAAAGGACTTGAATGTAGAAGAGGATTGCCAAGAGAAGAGGTGTCACAGGACACTGAAGGACAGTCCTCCACTGCTACACAGGGTCTGCAAGCTGGAACCCAAATGAGAGGGGGTTGTGAGGTCCTGGAGGAGTCAAGGACCAGTGAGATGCAGCCTTGGGATGTTTAGGTGCAGCTCTGCAGCTCAATACATGGGTGAGTCAATCAAACCTACTGACCATTGTGTGTCAAACAACCACAGCACACACATGATGTCAGGCAATCTCCCAAGCCTTCTGCTTCAGAAAAGGCAAGCCCAGGATTTGCCCATTAGAAGGGCAAATTTCAGCCTGTCCATGGGTTACAAACTGACTGGACTAACCTGACCTTCGCAGCATAGGATCGGTGAATCAAACCACTTGGCTCCTCTAAACACCAACAAAGGGGTGCGAAACATTAACTGCTGTGAGCTTGTTCAGGGCATGGCTCAATGGAAACCAGAGCTGCCCCTTGTATTCACAATACCTTAATAAATAATAATGCTTCAGCAGGGAATAACAAGTAGCCTCCATTCTTGCTCATGTGTGATTACAGGTAGCTCTCTCTGTGAGCTGCAGCCTATCCTCAAGTGCTCCCACAAACAATACTGTGTTACTGTGCATTTTCAGGATTGAATAGTAAGGGCTGTGACACAACCCAACTGAGCAGCTATCTGAAGTTCAAACACATGCTAATCCGTTTTGCTATTGTAAATCTTCGGCTTGACAACAGCAAAATACTTGAGGAGAATGCTCCAAGCAGAACTTACCGTAGGCATTGGGGAATTCTCCAGGACCTGGTCCTGGATAAAAGGGTCCTGGTCCTGGTGGCTGAACGGGATACTGCTGCGGGGGCCCGACATACGGAGGGCCACTGTGACGATACTAGGAGGAGAAAAAATAGCCATCAGCTTACATGGAGTTGGGCAACTTCATCCTGTTGCACACAGAACCTGTAATCAAGCCCCTGTATCAACAGGGATCTGATTAGCAAACTGATTAATTATAGATTGAGTTACTGTCAGAAGAACAGGAGAGAGCTAAAGCTGTGTCATCAACAGACGAGGACTCAAGAGCTGAAGCAGTAAATCCTGATTTCAGCACTGGTGTGTTTTTAAGAGGCCCAGGGTTTCATAGCTGCAGATCTACGAAGTCGATTCAGACACATTTATAGCACTGAACATTCTCCAGGAGCTCAGTTTCACACTGGTTTTGAGGGGGCCTCAAAACCTAGAGGAGTAATTTATTCTTCCTGCCTCCACATACACAACAACAAATACTTGATGTAGAAGAAGGACAGGGGCTAAATATGCATCTACCAGCTTCACTTCACACACACCCCCTAACTCTGCACCGAGCCTTGAGGAGATCCAGATGGAGCCAGCGTTGCTCTGCAGTCCTTTAGGTGCTGGGTTAAGGGGTTTGTTACCTGTGGTATACAGTACTGGGGGCCCTGAGGCATCGGGTAGGGCATTGGCAGGTGATTAACCATCATGATGTGCTGGTTGGTTTGATACACCGCCGTGGGGGTCTGCGCACCAGGACGGATGGAAGGGCTGCTGTTCTGGATGGTGGCTCTTGGAGGCTGGATCTGAGGCCTCTGAAAAAACTAGGGCAGGGGAGAGAGGAAAGAACTGGTCAGGCCTCCTGGGCAACAACTGGAAATACCATTGTGACATTAGAATTCTCATACTACTTTCAAAGGGTTGCCACGCATTCAGAAAACTGCAGGACAATTTCTGCTTCGCTCACCCTCCAGCCTTCCATTCACATGGAGAAGAAAGGTAAGGACCTTTAAACTCCAAGAGTGATGAGTTTGTAGCTGCTGGACTACACAGCTCAGCTTCCAGCGTGAACATTAAGAAACTGGCTTTTGTCACATAGAGTTTGGATAAGAGGGGTTGGCTGCCAAAACCCACCTTTATAAACGTGCTTGGGAATGAATATTCCAATAGAGCTCCAGAACAGTTATAAAGCCAGATTTCAGCAAGGCCAGGGGTGCCTCACACCTCTCCTTTACACAAACTGAAGCAGATGACTTGTCTTGCCCTCTGTTTTCAGGAAGGTGGCAACCTCTTTCCAGGGTGGTACCAAACTCTTCTACCACGTGTGCATGAAGTGATGCCCCACGCAGATGGACCAGGTCCAGGAAACCAAGCAACCCCCTGGAACACGCTCCATCCTCAAGCCTTACACGCTGGGAAAAGGCATCGGTATTCCTGGGATGGAGCATTCACGGCACTGGAAGACCTTGCTCTGGAGTCTTTGCAATCTTGAAACTCAGGTTTTGGTAAGATATGCATCAGACATCAACGCATTCACTAACGGAGTAATGATACAAGTGATAGAGACACTTATGCCATGCAGAACCAGGAGTTAAAATTACCTGTATAGGTCTGAATCCTCCCTTCAAGAACGAAGCAAGAAAGCAGCAGGAAACAGAAAGAAAGCCAATGGAACAGCTTACAGATCAGTAGGAAGGAATAGGATATAACATGCACCCTAATTGCACACAATTCCATTCACTTTGCTACCCTGCCTTGACTAACTTCTTAGAGGAACACCATGAAAAAGACACTGAACTGGCATCAAGGACTCTTCTACCTGAATCACAATGGAGGGGTCAGGAACTGCTGGAATAGTTTAATATGGAAGTATACAAATTTAAAGATAAAAAAGAAAAAACCCAACCAAACCATGGTAAACTGCACAAAATATGATGCTACAAAGATGCTATGGTTACTCTGCTCCTAAACAGCAAAGGTTTTCCTTTCTGGTCTCTTTCAGTGCTACAGAGACAGCAGATGAAGCAGAAACCCTTGTTCACATCTTGGGTTTGGTCTCCATTTCCACACCAAGACTGGAAGGATAAGAAATGCCAAGTATTTAAGTGTTAAGCAAAATAATCATGATTAGGCCATCACACACCACACTGAAGACTGCTGAGTGATGAAGTGCACTGATGGGAGTAGTCTGTGAGCAACTGCATCATGAGTGGGGAGAAGAAAAGAGAGGAAGGAATGAAGGAATGAGCTGGGCTAATCTGCACTGGCATTTAGGAAGAACAGGGTAGGGCAGGAGGAAGCTGTGATGCCTCTATCCTTGACATGACAACAAGCTCAACATGGTCATTCTGGTGCTGCTGAAGACTTTTTGACACCCCATAGCAAATGATGCCTCCAGGAAAGCCAGGGATGACTCCGTATCACAAATCCAGATGCTTTTACGTCCAGCCCTGTTCAACTGGATGAAGAATTGTCCCCAGCACAGTCCAAGTGTGACCTGAACCAGAAGGCAGCTGTTTGAGGAGAAAAGCTTGGTTGGGAGGGTGCAGAAAGGAAAGCAGAAGAGCAACACACTGTCTGCATTAACAAAAACTGTGGCTGTCTAGATGTGGGGAACCACAGGAGCATCACAGGAACCAAGGGCATATGCTGAATTGATGGGGAGAACAACCAGAGTCTGCAGTGTTTCGTTATCCAAAGACATCAGAAAGAGCAAAATCCTTTCTTCTTTCTGAATAATGACTGTTTCTAACCTGTTACACCAGAAGTGTCCCAGAGTGGGGCTGGAAAAGTCAACAGCCACCATGACTCCGTATTCACGCAGAGCGAAATGGGCTGGAGGCTGAGGTGGGACCTGCCTCTGCTGACAGTAACAGCATCCACAGGGCAGCACAGAAAAGCTTCACTGCAAGAGATGGGAGTCCTGCACCAGTGTGAGCTGCAGACGTGAGCTCTGCTCCTCAGGTCCCTGCTGCACCTATGAAACCTGCTACCAACAGCACCAAAACCATCAGAGAAAAACTTGCAGCAACAGAAACTCCTGCCCATGGAGAGCTTCCAGATGTTACCTGTTGGGGTAGCACCCTGAAGAAACTCTGTATCAGGATCACAAGCTGGCTCTCTCCTGCACTGGGACAGCAGCTCTGTGCACCAACACGGGTGGTGTGTGCCACAGGCTCACTCCTCCATTAAGCATCAACCACCCCATGGCAGTGGTTCCTCACTAGGAGTAGCACCTCCGATGAGGAAACTCGTTTTAAACCCTCCAGCCTCTCAAAACCATTCTGCACTGCCCACACCATTGCAGAGGTGGAGATGGAGAAAGAAGGAGGAGAACTCCATTACTATGAGGAAGACAGACACAGCAGGAAGAACAGCAGATCCATTATTCCAAAACAAGAGCACCAGATGCTTTTGGAAGAGCCAACCAGAGATCTCTTAGCAAAGTCTGAATCGGCTGTAGCTCCTCCACTAAACAACAGTATCAGGTACCATCAGAGTGCTGCACATCCCATTTTAGGTGGGTTTGACTGTTCCAAACAAGTATCAGCTGGCTGGCAAACTGGTTTCTGCTCTGTCCTTGCCCCTGTCCCTCCAAGGCTCAGCTAGCAACATTCATTCTTAGAAATGCTTCACTATTCTGACCTGGTTTGCTGAATAATTGGTTGTGTGAGGTCAAACAGATGCCTGCACAGGCAGTGATCACCAGTAACACTCCATGTCCCATAGGAGAACACTGGGAGATTAAAATCAGATCTATTTTGTCTCTTTTTCTTCTAAGAAGTGTAGGATTTGGGAGTGGAGCACACACAGAACCTACCCAGGACCTGAAGAAGGAATCCTGGGCCTCAGCAAGGCTTCTGATAGGTTTCATCCACCCTTCCTCGACTACCTCCTGCAAAAAGTCCTGCTATGTCTAATGATGGTCAAACTGGCTACACAGCCATGCAGCAACCAGTGCGGATCTGAGCCATGGTCCTCAGGTCACGGTCCCATCCCTTACCTTTCCAACTCAGTTACAGAGGAATTTCTTGGATCATCGTGGAGTCAGTAATATGGTGTTTAATGTCTCCCTTCTGAGGATTACTCCCTTGATACACTTATGGAAGGGCACAAGGAAACCCTTCTCAGACTTTGCTTTTATCAGCTGCCTCAAGCTCAACTCTTTCAGCCTCCTCATTTATTAAGCTCTCATCACAGAACCCCAGCCTGGTTTGTGCTGGAAGGGACCTTAAAGCTCACCCAGCTCCAACCCCAACACCTTCCACTGGAGCAGCTTGCTCCAAGCCCCTGTGTCCAGCCTGGCCTTGAGCACTGCCAGGGATGGGGCAGCCACAGCTTCTCTGGGCACCCTGTGCCAGCGCCTCAGCACCCTCACAGGGAAGAGCTTCTGCCTAAGAGCTCAGCTCAGTCTCCCCTCGGGCAGGTTCAAGCCATTCCCCTTGGCCTGTCCCTACAGGCCCTTGTCCCAAGCCCCTCTCCAGCTTTCCTGCAGCTCCTTTAGGTATCCGCTACTCACCTCCTGCCCACCCCTCTCAGCACTACCCTGCCATTTACCTCTTAGTCACTCCTTACATACAAACACTTCAATATCTATTTACTAACCATCATCTTCTCCTGCTTGATTTTCCTCCCACATGACCCTGTGTCAAAAGTCTGTTGAGGACCAGCCACACAAGAGGCTGTCATCCAGAAAAATCAATGAGCAAAGGGCACAACCTCCTCCTGCTCAACCACCAATGCATTTCAATTGATTTTCTCTTTACACTGTATTTCTAAGCTGTTTCTTCCAGTGAAATGTCTGTGGAGCAACTCCCCCTGTGCTCTAAAAGCTTCACTGGGAAATAAACCTGTGGGAAGAGCACTGAAACCCAACCTATGTGAAGCTCAGCCCATCTAACACAATGTGTGCAGGCCCAGCTCAAGGCTGGCAGCTGCGATGGCTCCACAGAGCCCTGCAGAAGGCAGCAGAGAAAGGGACCAAAGGGAAAGTTCAACAAGTTGTCATCAATGCTATCAAATCAAATCAAAAAGCACTGCTTCAATTAAGCTTCTCCTACCCTGGGACAAGCTTGTGATTAAGTTTGAGTCTTTTTATCCCACCAGCTTTCCTGGTGGGATAACCTGACCCTGAGGTGTCTGCACAGGTGATACAGCAGGAACCACATCTACTACTTACAGACCAGCACTGGCACATTGTATTTGATCCTTCAAACTCCAACACAGGGACCAGGGCTCAGCTGAGGAGCTGCAGCCTTGACACAAGAGCTGCTGCCAGAAGCAGGAGCTGCAGAAGGAAGCCCCCAGGTCCAAGTCTTCCTTCCCCAGTGGCCACCAGTAACCCAGTGCAGCCCTCTGGGCACAGCACACGACTTCCCCCCCCCCCCCTTCAGGTATTCCCAGTTTTATTATCTGCTAAATGATAAAACTGGGTGAAAAAAACCCTTTTTGTGTCCTCTGTGGGATTCAGAACTGGCAGCTCCAGTACAGGCTCACGGATGAAGACAGACATGACCATGGCAGCTGTTTCCACCCTCTTTCTAACCTGAGATGCTGCCCAAAGCTACCAAATGGTCGGTCTTGAGTCAGCTCAGGGAGTGCATTCCTGACCTCTCCAAATCACAAGGCTTTAGAACAACAGCACACAGCCCAGCCCAGCTTTCTGTTGTATAAGCTGTACCCAAAGGAACTGGAGTAACCCCAAGCTAAAACTGGAGCAAACTACACCAGCAACCTCAAACTAACTTTGCCTGCCATACCCAGCAAACTGATCTCAAATACAATTACAAGTCAGAAAGGGAACTATGACATTTCAGTTCATACTTCTTCTTATTTCTGTTTCTAATTACACTGGCCTCTTCTGAGCATCCATTTTAAAATAAGCCAGATGCTCCTGAAGTACTTCTTGAATTAAGGGTTATTCTACATTCTGGACTTTAGATTAGAAGGAAACTGCTATTTCCAATTGTGTTTCATGAGGATCAGAAGCAACAAAGTGACAGAAGATCCTTACACAGGGAGAAGGAAAAACAGGGATGCTCCATGCACAGAGAGAGAAATGGAGAAACAACCTAGGCAGGGTCACAGCTGCATCTGCTATGATTCTGAGTAAATCTCGAGCTGACAATGTATTTCAAAATCATAGGATCCCAGCCTGGTCTGGTTGGAAGGGACCCTAAAGCTCACCCAGTTCCAACCCCTGCCACAGGCAGGGGCCCCTTCCACTGGAGCAGCTTGCTCCAAGCCCCTGTGTCCAACCTGGCCTTGAGCACTGCCAGGGATGGGGCAGCCACAGCTTCTCTGGGCACCCTGTGCCAGCGCCTCAGCACCCTCACAGGGAAGAGCTTCTGCCTAAGAGCTCAGCTCAGTCTCCCCTCTGGCAGGTTCAAGCCATTCCCCTTGGCCTGTCCCTACAGGCCCTTGTCCCAAGCCCCTCTCCAGCTTTCCTGCAGCCCCTTTAGGCACTGGAGCTGCTCTAAGGTCTCCCCTTCAGGAGCCTTCTCTTCTCCAGGCTGCCCCAGCCCAGCTCTCTCAGCCTGGCTCCAGAGCAGAGCTGCTCCAGCCCTCGCAGCATCTCCATGGCCTCCTCTGGCCTCGCTCCAGCAGCTCCACACTGAAGCTGGGTCATGGGGAGCTTCTCACTGACCAGCACCCCCATGTCTTTATCCTCAGGGCTGCTCCATCCCTTCCCCACCAGCCTTGCGTTTGTGCTGAGGATTGCAGGACTTCGGTGCAGGACCTTGCACTCGGCCTTGCTGAGCTCCAGGAGGTTCAGACGATGATAAAATACCACCACAGAACACTCTGTTCAGCTCATTTTCTTTCCCTTACAAAATGAGACACTGCAGGGGTTTCCCGGGCATCCGTGGTACTGGAATCAAGGGTTACTGATACACATTTAATCAGGACCACTGCAGCTATTTACATTTGCCTCCGGTCACTCGTAGTGTAGCGTCCTGAATGTTCTCCTGTTTTCTCCTACACAGAATCTGATAACACTCTCTACAGCATCACCTGGCCATCACCCAGCAGGGCAGGCATCCCCATCCAGAAGAAAATCACTCATAAATTTGCCAGTCAACATCAGGTGCTTAAATCACACTAATGTGAGTCTAATAATACAGGAAATATCGTTAAAGAACAATCCATTATTGACTGAAAATGACCCAGAATCAATACGAGGCACACGTTAACACAATCACACTGGGACTGACACAGGAATCATTGCAAACCTCATTTTGCTGCTGCTTTTTGGAAGAGCACGTTATGTTGATGCAAGAAATATTCATGGCACTATGCTTGATTTACTCATTTAGTACTATTCAGGTTACAAAATCTCAGTCTCGAAGCCCAACTGCTTATGTTACATGTTAAAGGCTTCCCATGGGAGAATTAGTACTCCTGTTGGTCTCAAGCATCTTCTAAGTCTTGGGTTTGGGGTGAAGTGGGTCGGTGGCAGAAGTCCCTCTCTCCATCCCCACACCATGGGCAGAGAGCTTTGGATGAGAAGAAACAAAGAGCTCATCTCCAGCCCAGGTTTCTCTGGGCCTGCCCTGAGCCAGCACATGACAGCCAGAGCTGGGGATAAAGCCTGCAATGGTTTGCTGATGGTGACAGCTTCCCTCAGATAATTCACATGTAAGAGAGTCTGCAACGCAGTTAACCACCTAGTGATGGAAGTGGGAAAACACTGGGTAAAGACAAGTTCTAACCTGCAGGCAGGGTGGTAACTGCGTTCAGAAGAGAGTCTGAAATGAAGTTACAACAGACCAGTGGTAGAGGCACACCAGGAAAGCCACCAGTTGCTGGCACAGCCTCCTCCAAGGCTGTGCTGCCTCCAGCCCCGTGGTCCAAAACCTGCTGGCAGTGAGCTCAGTGAGACTATTAAATGCCTCACTCTGAATCAATCCATCACTTGCCTTTGTAACAACCTAGGCAAGAACACACCAGCTCCTGGATGGCAATGTGTGCTCAGTGACAGGCAAGGGAAACACAGACCTGGAGTTAAGGTCAAGAACAAAAGTATCTAAACAAGGTTCTAATTCTGGCATGCCCTGCGCTGCCCGGTCTCCTGCAAACATTCCATCACCACCGCTGCTGTCGCTGCAATCCCTCCCATGCACAAAGAGAATTGCTGCCTCTCTCACATGACATCTGCCTGGGAGCAAACAAGTGCAAATGCCTCATTCTGCTCTTTAAGCCTTTGTTTTGTCCTGCTCTGGAAGGCTGCCTGCCTCCACGCTGCTCTCTGAGGTGGAAGGACCAAAGATAATCAGCTCTTTGGGGTGGCTGTGCCCACTGAACACACTTACCTGCTCCCCTGAGACAGCACTTCCTCAAAGGTGCTCATCTCTACATGATTAAACTGCTCACACTAACAGGAGCAAAGTGAGAACAAAATCGTCCTCCTGGAACAAGGACTCAAGCCCCAGTCCCAACATTAGTGGAGTTTTATCTCCCTATTAACTTGGTGGGAACAACCTGTTCCTTCCAAGCCAGGAAGCAGTGACATGGGAACAACCAGACCTGGGAGAGCTTTCCTGCACTCCTCACACCATTTTTCCTCTCCTCCACCCCTCAGCAGCTTCTCTGTCCCCTCAAAAGCTACGAATGGCAGCAAAATCAGTGCCAGGGGAAAAAGGGTTTGCAAAGATGAATGTAGGAGTTGATAGAAAGACAGCTTTGGACGCCCTGAGCAGGACAGAAGGGATCTGTGCACTGTCCTGATGGTGAGGAGTCCTCTGGGTATCTCTTGACACCCTACTCAGTGCTGCCCATGAGTTTCATGAGCTATTCCTCATTTTCATTCTTCTTAATTAAGTGGTTCCTTAAAAAGTCCAAGTCTTGCAATGGGAACACTACAAAGATTCCTAAATGTTGGCTTTCACAGGGTAAGTAAAACCAACATTAAGCAACATAATGGTAACGGATCACCAGGCATATTGCACAAGAAAGGCATGGACTGGGAAGCCATCTGCCTTGCTGCTCCGAGTTTGAGAAGCAGGATTTTCTCTGGGATGTGAACTCCAAGTCCTGGTTAACATCTTCAGCTCAGGCAGCTTAACCAGCACCTACTTTGGGAAGTAGTTGGCAAGGTTTCTAGACTGTCTTGACTTCTAGACTGTCTTGACTTGACCAAGGCAAGCGAATCTCACCTGTACCTGGACAAGAACTCCTTGTCCAAGGTTCTCCTTTCCTATGGCAACAGCATTAAGTGGGGTGGTTCAAGAGTGCAGTGACACCAACAGAATTAGAAGTGTTACTGAGCGTTGCAGGCAGCTTGTTAGCAGGGTTATGCATGTGCTAGTATCTGCTAGGGGCCGGTTGCCGAAGCGAGCCTTTGCTCTGGGTTAGTGGGTGAACCTCCTCCAACCACCCTCCTCCCCCAGCAATTAGTTTAGGTTGATAACGAAGGGGCAGGTACTGTACCTGGTGATGGGCAGGTCGAGGCCCCGCTGCAAACTGAGGAAAGGCGGGAGAAACAAACACAAAAGGAAAGGCACAAAGAGTCAGAAACACCACAACGAAACCAAAATGTCACACTCTATGCAAAAATAAACCCACAAGGGAAAAAAACAACAACCACCACACAACAGTCAAAAGCTTTGCTGCAGGACAGCGACAGACAGGGACTGAGATATAACGAGTGGCTGGGGGGAGCACGCTGCTCGAGATGGGAGATTAACAGCCCAAGCTGCTGGTTGCTGGAAAGGCGCTCAGGGGATGAACACAGGCATTCCTTATCCTGCCTGGGGAACAAAATAAAGCCAAACCCCAACTTAAACCAAGCTGTTTCAAAGGTGGAGGTCAATGGTTAAAGCAGCTGGACTCAGAGCTGTTCCAAACGTTTGGTGGGAGCGGAGGATGGAAAACTCATGGCTGGAGAGGAGTAAAGAGCCAGGTAGGCACTGCTATATTGTCCTGCCAAGCGTGGGGAGGTCCCTGCAAGGCAAAGATGCAAACACACAGTGCCATTTGTTTCCAGCCTTTTGCTTTTAACCTCACAATCTAACCCTCCTTAACGAGTTGGAACTGTCACCCCCATCTGAAAGTGAAGACAGGTTAACTCACGGCGTCCCAAGGGAGCTGAAGGCATCAGTGGGTAGAGAGCTTGGATGGAGAACACGAGGTCCTGGTGCCCAGCCCTAAGCTCACTAAACCATTCCCCACCCGCTTGGGCTACCCGTGGAGGAAAGGAATCAGGCTTTCACATGCTTGGTAAATATTAAAAGCATTTCCCAATAAGTAACTGAGTGTTAGAAATAAAAATGAATGCAAGAAATGGAAAATATAAAGAAAGATGACAAGGGATGCTCTTGGAGAAGCTGAGTTAAGTATTTAAACCCCTCATTCTCAGTGTAATGAGCAGAACTCCGTGATGAAAGCAGAGAAATCTATTGATAATAGCTCCAGTAATTAAATGGAGCAAATGAAAGGAGATCCCACAGTGGCTTTTTACCCACCACAGCCTCTACCCATCACCAGGCTGTGATGGTTTAGTAACTTAATGCACGTGCTGAGGCACAAGGTACAGTCCAACTCTGCTCATTCCTACTACAGGGGCTCCTCATGCTTTACTCTCTGCCTGAGAAGAGGAATCAAAGCTGGTTACTAATTACTGGTTGTCTTAATAGGAGGGTTTTTCAGTAAGACAAAGTGGCTCCCTTGCAGCCCTACCTCCAGCTATTTTAATGGCATCAAACATGAGAAGCAAAGTATAAATATTCAGCGGTCTGGCTGATTTTCTCCTTTATAACCACTTTAATTGCCTACATTTAAGACTTCCAAGAACTAGGCTGCTAACACTGGTGTTTATATATTCCTTCTGCCTTCACCTCATGGTGACATTTGGGTGCAAAGTCATGAAAACCTTCGCAAATAAGAGTTTTTACAGATGTACTCTATGCCTATATGTGTGTCTATATAAGAGTTGTGTGCCTATACAAGAGTTTATAAGGAATGACCTGCACTGATTCACCAAATAGTCTTCCCGTCCTTGAAAACTTCCCCTAAACCTTACATTAAAGAAAAAAAGCAAAGCAGCATCATGTAAGACTGAAGAGCAGAAGGTTCTATTTTAATGGCAACCATAGGACAGAAGGAGTCAGAGACCCAGCATCCTCCTGAGGCTCAGGGTGTGAAGGATGGTGGCTCTGCCCATTGGTCCTACAGCAGTGAGAAACAGGCCCCTGGATGAGGAATGCACTGCAAGTCCTTATTTTCCTTGAGGAATAACTCCTCAAACCCACTTCCAATGCCTTGTGTTTGAGGATAGGGCTAAAGCCCACCCGAGGTGGGATGACAAGAGCCTCTCTGCAGGGCTACACACTCCATGGTACACACCAATGAGAAAAATGAGTCAAAAAGAGATTGATAGGGTGCTAAAACCTCGTGTTGCTTCATTTCAGGGTCAAGGTCCCTCTCTCATCACTGTTCCACAGGAAAGATTTGTTCTCACTGTGTTTAAAACAAGAGCTGAAATCTTGTACCTTAAGAAGCCAAAATATTTTCCATGGTGAAAAGTAAGATGTGTTACAAGGGGAAAAAATAAAGGAATAAAATAAAACTTCAAAGTTAGTGAAAAACACCCTCATCTATTTTGAACTGGTCACCACTGGCTCTTGATTTGCTTTTAATTTTGATTTCTTTTCATTCATTCAGGTTGATCAGATTTATTCCTACTTGAAGCTGTAAGCAACAGAACAAACTGTAGTCACTGCCGGCTCAGATCAGCACAGGCACTTTGGGCTGGTTTATTCCTCTGGCTGATGAAGGTAGTAGATAGAAAGGAAAACCTGATGGAACCCGGGTCCAGCATCTCTGCCACCCCACTCGTCCTGGTGCTGCCCTTGCTCCATGGACAGCAGAGTACACCCTCTACCTGCTGCTGCTTAAGCCTCCCTGACAATAAACACCTCTGCATCACTCCAGCACCCTCCTGATCATGGGGTTTTGGCAAATGTCCTAGAATTGGCCAGTTTGTGTTAAAATCACCTGGGGCTCCGGGCTGGCACGGGCAAGAGGTAATGGATCATGCTCAGGCGTGCTGAGTGATTCCCAATCCATTCTCCTTCCTCTTAGCTGGAGCTGTGAGATTCTTGCTATTGGAGCACTGCTATGGTGCTAACAGGGAGAAAACATGCAGCCAGTTGGACTGCAAAGGCAGCAGTCCTGGAAGGAGCAGAAAAGCCTCAACTCTGCAATTGCCAAAGGCCCTTGAATGCAGAAAAAAGATGGAGGAAGCTTCAGCTGCTCAAGGAAGCAGGGTTAGGATCAACCTCAGCTATGTACCCACAGCTGCCTGCTGGATGGGACTGTGCTATGGCAGCCCGGGGATGGCAAAGACCCCCTGTCACCTTCCTCACGCCCTCCTCACCCTCCCCTCGCCACCAAAACCAGATGGTTAAAAAATGAATGCCAAAATAAGAATTAAAAACCAAAAGGAAGTCAAGCCCAGAACGAAATGCAGGAGTAGCTCAGGATGGGGCCAGTCCTGCATTTGTTTTGGGATGGGGAGGTGGAATGAGATGTTATGGGTGCAGCTTTTAGTAATGGGGGTGGAAATGGTCACTAGCAGAGCGGGTGGCAAAGTCTGCACACAGGAGAGTTAAAAAAAATAACAGAAAAATGGCTGAGAGCTGCAGACAAGTTCTTCCTCCTTAATAACAGGGCCAAACTCCTACAATTTGACCCATTTTCCAACCAAATTCACTGCAGATGTTACCCGCAGAGCAGCAAACCCAGAGTGAGCCTGGTCTCTGCCCTACCCCAGTCAGACCCTCCCAGCTGCAATCCAGCTTTGGACTTGGTGTCACCACTTGACCTGCCAGGGCAGCTCATGCTTTTAGCAAAGCAGCAAACCCAGTGCAATGCTGTAGATCAGCCAACAAAACCCAAGATGTGGTAAAAGACAAACTTAATAAAGAAAGAAAGGATGAAATCAAAACAGTGCCATCGGCACAACCGCCTGCAAGAAGGAGTACAGTTTGTTATATTGCTTACAATGCAGTATTTTATCCAGCCTCTTCCAGCCAGGGACCTGTAAACCGGACTCTGTTCCAAAACCTTCCTCCTCTTCCAGTTGTCTGTGCAATGTATTGGCACTGTTCTGCTGGGCTGTCAAAAAAACTGGTTTAGAGATGCAGCTCTTCAGTCAGGTTTTCGCTCCACTTCTAACCATACCAACTTAGCTGTGCTTTTCAACAATTCACGATGATTATACTTACTGAGAAGAGAAGGGGGTTACCATCAGTATCCTGCATTACTGATCAAAATGAGGGGCTAAGGATAAAGTTGCAGGTGTCCACATCATCAAACTGGTGTTAACTGTTCATCAACACAGAGGTTAACGGGTCTCAGGAGTCACCCTCCTGCAAATCCCATGGAGGTGGAACCTCCAGGGCTGGGGCAAGCACATCAATGTGGCTGCACACAGGGAGGAAGCTTACCCTCTGTGTGTGAGTGTGTATATATATACCTGGACAACCAGAAGACTTCTGTCTTGGAGCCTTCAGCTGCCACCTGCAGCAGCATTCATCTTACTCTGAAAAGAGAAGTGCTGGGAATGGCGCAGTGGCTTTATAGGAAACCTGAAAGTGTTATGATGCAGATGTGGCTTTGCAAGAGGCACAGGGTTGCTGCTCCCTTGGCTAACTGAGGCTTGAGATGCCATGATGGCAAGCTACCGCACCTCCAGAAGCTGAGCTGAGCCCTAGGAGGGTCTCCTAACACCATGTGGATTTGTACTATGAGCAGAGATTCCGCTAGAAGTCCTACAGCAGCAGAGCAGTATTCCAATACACACACAGAAAGGAAAAATAAAAGATGATGGAGGACAATCAAACCTGAAGTTGGATGAAAAAGGGGCTCACCACAAAAAGATGTGGGTACCCTGAAGCTCTATGTTAAATGTGTGAGCACCTATGAGGTGCTAGGTTAGAACTGATCCAGTGGCACTGAGGCAGAAGCAAGGCCCAGAGGCCACTGGAGACTGAGTGCTGATGCAGAGAACCATTTTGGTTTCTTGACTTCATGAAATACTTCCTTAAAGGGGGAAAAAAAGGGGAAAAAAAAAAAAGAAAAAGAAGAAAGGAGAAAGATTCTGGCAATGAATCTAAACTCTTAAAATAAAGTGAACCTGAAAGCAACTATGCTAAAAATAAATGGTGTTATTTGCACGGAGATGAGAATCCCTCCATCGCTTCTCTTCTGATAAGCCACTTGAAAACGATCCTACCAGGAGAGCGTCTGAAAGATGCAGTCAACATTTGCCATTTGGAACGTGCTTCCAGTTCAGTAGAATACGTTTTCCAGAGAACTGGCCCAGTGCTACAGACACACACAGACACACAGAGACACACACGGACCAGGAAGAAAGAATGAAGGGTAGTGCGAAGGCGAGCTCCCTTACCGGCGAGCGGGTCTGAGGCTGCGTGTTCATTGTCTGAGGGGCTTGAGGGTACACCAGTGTGGTTGGAGCTGCATTCTGTCCTGAGGGGTAGGGAGCCTGCCAGGGAACAAGAAAAGTAAGTAACAAATGAGTGCATCAAGCAATTCATCCCAAAGCACAGAACTGAACATGTTATCAGGTGGACTGCTGATCAACACGGGGATAAAGGTGACACAGGTGATGCTGGTGCAGAAAACCTTCTCCATCAAGGGGACAACCAATGTGCCAACACTGCCCAAAGCTCCCCATTAAAACAGTACATCTCTGAAACCCACTGTGTTCAGACCCCCAGCCACGTGCTTCCCAAAAGCCTCCTCTGAACCTGCTTCCCAGGAAAGCTGGAACCATGGGTATTGCCGATAAATCCTCCGGAACAAGGCAAACACTAAGGAACAAGCTCCAACACATTTAACACACCCCAGTGCTGCTTGAAAGCGTTTGCAACACAATGAAAAGGGCCCCAAATCGTTACAGATGTGAGGCAGAGCATGGGCTGTGCAAACTGTTCCTCATTTCAATGGGCTATAACCATTTATACCACCAGATGCTCTCCCATGTTATGTGCCCGAAGTAACAATAAACTGGAGCTGTGCAGTTATGGGGAATGCACATTTTAACAAGACATTTGGAACTAACTCTATAGAGTTCTCCTTATTCTCTTTAAAAAAAGATTGTAACTCACCTTCTTTAAATTGTTAATAGTTTGTTATTGTAATGGCCTAAACCCAGCCTACAACAGCCTCCACTTTAAAGAGGCATCAGCCCAATTCTACATGCTGCCCTGTAAGTCCTGCACGACTCCTTTCCAAACCACTTCTTCATCCCCTTAGCTCTTCCCCTTCACTGTCCATCCCTCATGGTGCCAGCGCTGGATATTGGCAACCACGTAATAATGGTAACCACAGTCCCTGTTAACCCCCTGGTTACACACCATCAGATTTATCTGATGAATAAAGGAGCTTATTGGGTTTTCTCTGGGAGAAAGACTTTCGGCTCATTGTACAGATTATGCTTAAAAGCACTGCAATACTCCTCTGTACACTGAATTAGGATTTATTCACACCACAAGCTCTGCCGAAGAATCTCATCTTTGAATTTCATGGCCCTTGCATTAAAATTCAATAGCAGGTCTAAGGACTAAAGAGAGCTGCTTCAATCCGTAATGGGATATTGAGAGCAGAGGTTTCGCTGCACCAGCCCTCAGGCACGTTTCAGGGTATCTTTGATTCGAACTGTGCTAGATTTCATTTGAATAATTAAGTTTTTAAACAATAAAACTAAGTTAGAGTTAGTAAACTAAACCTGCTTGTATTAAAGGAAGAAAAAAGAAACTCATAAACCCCATAGCTCTCAAGAGAGATGGTCCAGCATAAAGCCTGAAGCAGTTTTAGGCAAACAGCTCAAGGAGTGGTGTAGGAACAACACAAAACGTGCTCTTTCTAGAAGGATACTCAGTCCTGAAGCCTGCAAAACTTTCAAGTCTGCATTAGCCAACTGTGCCAAGTACAGGCAGGCATGTCCTGCCTTTCAAAGGAGACTCATCCAGGCCTCAGCAGGCAAAGGATGCATGGCTTGAAGAAAAAGAAAGTGATTTAAGGAGAGCTTTTCTTACAGAATTAAGTGGGCGTAAGAGCATGCCACTGGGTAAAGCACGGATTTCCTTCTCACCTCCCAGGCTGAGTCCTACAGCAGAGTCACAGACTTCACCCACAGCTCAGCCTCTTCAGCCCTGTCAGCATGAGCACATGTGGGATGGTTCTGGAGCAAGGGTATGTCTTTAGTTTGGAAGAGCAGACCTGGCAGTGTTCAAGGCCAGGTTGGACACAGGGGCTTGGAGCAAGCTGCTCCAGTGGAAGGGGTCCCTGCCCGTGGCAGGGGTTGGAGCTGGATGGGCTTTAAGGTCCCTTCAACCCTAACCCCTCTGTGACTCTATAGTAAGATTCTATACATTTGGAAGATGTGTACCACCAAGTGCCCCTGCACACACTGACCAGTGTCCTGTGCCCTGCAGAGTGCCCAGGAGACAGGCACAGGTCTCTGTGCTGTTCTATTGTTTCTTTCTCATCACTAAACATAAAATCCCCGCTTCATCTCCTGCTGATCACAATGTAATACAAGGTAAATGAGAACACAGTTCAGACACAATCCAGCCAATGAATTTTCCAGTCTCAAGAAGAAAACAAAACCCAAACCCAAACCTGAATGTGGCAGAGGGAACGAGAGGATTGAGTATAACCCAAAACCAGTCCCTGCTGGTGCAATACCTCCAATTCCTACTTTGGGACCACACTCAAACTCAGCATTAAAAAGCCAAGCTTACCCCCGAGCACACAGACACTGGAGGACAGCGTTTCTATGGCACAAGCTAACTCAGCAGGATGTTTGGCTATGTTCTACCTGATTTTCACACTGCTTTTTTGTGTTAAAGAGATGATAAAAACCTATGCCTCTGAGCACACCACCAGATCTTTGCTGTGATTTAGGACTCCAAAGCACACTTGGTGGCATATTTAACTGACAAACATTGTTCTGTAGTAGTTTATACCAATACAGCAGCAAAGACTCTGGTTCAAGAGCAATTCAATGCTTTAATCAGCTCCTGTGATGGAAGTGGAGATCTCTTGCAGGAGCAGGGCAGCTTTTCCATTGCCACTCCACCCCAGGAGCTCATTCAGTCTAATCCTCCGCAGCCAGCACTTTCCTACCTTCTTACCACTGGCAAAACCTCTAATTCCCATCAACGAGTAATTTGCAAGAAGTCTTCTAATTTTTGGAGATGTCAGATGCAGCATCAAATATTTCCCCCTTTTATTTGACAAGTGTGATTCTGCACGAGCTGTTGGTGTCAGTGCTGTGTAATAAACAGCATGCACCATATCTCACAGCAGCGGTGACACCACAGCGAGGAGCAAGTGCAGCACTGAGGAGTAATCGAGCACTAACAAGATGTGGGGTACTTGTACCTTTCCATCCACAGCCTACAGAAGCTGTCCTGCACTTAGCAGCATCTTGCTGTGGACTTTCTGGTGCCTGGGATCTCTGCCCAGCATGAGGCTGAGGCTTCTCCCCTTGGTGGATCAGCAGCGCTGTCTGTCACCATGAACCTTGCAAAGAGGCCTGATGCTGCTCTTTGTATCTTACCAAACAGCACCAAGGGTGCAAATGGACACCTGGATGTAAATGGACCAGTTGACCTCCAGCTCATAAGAAGAGACTTTATCCCAAATGGTTAGAACTGCAGGTCCCACAGCATCTCAGAAAAGAGAGAAAAAAACATCCACTATTCTCAGACTTCTCCAGGCTGAAGAAAACATGTTTTATTCAGGCTTAAATGACATGCATCAGTGCAAAGCCTAAGTCACTTCCATGCTTCCCCCAAAGTCCTCACCCACCTCCAAAACACCCCAAGTCTTCATCACAGAATTACGGAATGGTTTGGGTTGGAAGGGACCTTAAAGCTCCTCCAGCTCCAACCCCTGCCACGGGCAGGGACCCCTTCCACTGGAGCAGCTTGCTCCAAGCCCCTGTGTCCAACCTGGCCTTGAGCACTGCCAGGGATGGGGCAGCCACAGCTTCTCTGGGCACCCTGTGCCAGCGCCTCAGCACCCTCACAGGGAAGAGCTTCTGCCTAAGAGCTCAGCTCAGTCTCCCCTCGGGCAGGTTCAAGCCATTCCCCTTGGCCTGTCCCTACAGGCCCTTGTCCCAAGCCCCTCTCCAGCTTTCCTGCAGCCCCTTTAGGCACTGGAGCTGCTCTAAGGTCTCACTGGAGCCCTCTCTTCTTCTCATCACCGAAGCAGAAGGGAATTGGAAAGAAAAGAAGCGCAGCTATCACTGAGCCTGAAGAACGATGACTTTTAGCAGCAAGTCTGTAAAGCAGGCATTTCAAACACAGTGCCAAAGCCAGGCACCTCGCTGCTAACAGATGTCATTTCTGACACCCGGAGGGCTGAGAGGCACATGAAAGACGACGCAATCGAGTGTTAAATTTGCTTCAGCATTCAAACCCTTTCAGAATAAGTATAGCATTAAGTTATAAATAAAGAAAAAAGCATGTGAAGGCTTCAACAGAAGCACAGAATCGTTTGGGTTGGAAAAGACCTTCATGATCATCGAGCTCAAGTTAACCCAGCACTGCCAAGGCCACCACTAACCCATGTCTCCAAGCATCACACCCAGACGTCTGCTAAATCCCTCCAGGGCTGGTGAGTCCAGCCCTGCCCTGGGCAGCCTGTTCCAGCGCTTGACAACAAACTGTTCCTCAGCTCCATCTAACCCTGCCCTGGTGCAGCTTGAGGCCGGTTCCTCTTGTCCCATCCCTTGTTCCTTGGGAGCAGAGCCCAGCCCCTCCTGGCTCCATCCTCCTGTCAGGCAGTTGGAGGCAGCCATCAGGTCCCCCTTGAGCCTTCTCCTCTCCATCTGACCCCCCAGGTCCCTCAGCCCTTCCCCATCACCCCTGTGCTCCAGGCCCTGCACCAGCTCCATTCCCTTCTCTGGCCCCGCTCCAGCCCCTCAATGTCTCTCCTGTAGTGAGGGACCCAGAGCTGAACACAGGATTCGAGGTGCAGCCTCACCAGTGCCCAGTGCAGGGGCACAATCCCTGCCCTGGCCCTGCTGCCGCACTGGTGCTGATCCAGGCCAGGATGCTGGGGGCTGCCTGGGCACAAGCTGCTCATGTTCAGCTCCATCAATCAGCACCTCCAGGTCCTTTTCCATGAGCAGTTTCCAGCTGCTCTTCCCCAAGCCTGAAGCATTGCAGGGGGTTGTTGTGGCCCAAGTGCAGGATCCAGCACTGAGCCTTGTTGAACCTCATCCCATTGGCACATCCCATGGATCCAGCCTGTCCAGATCCATCTGCAGAGCCTCCTGCCCTCCAGCAGATCAACGCTCCCACCCAACCTGGTGTCATCTGAGGGTGCCCTTGATCTCATTGCCCAGGTCATTGATGAAGACATTAAACAGACCTGAGCCCTGGGAACACCACTTGTGAGCAGCCACCAACTGGAGGTAACTCCACTCACCACCACATTTTGGGCTCATCCAGCCATTTTTCTACCTAG